AAACCTGGCTCCTGGAAGGTCTTTGGGGGTGCCAGCTGGGCTGGGGGCATGAGGGGCAGGGACAGGGAGCTGCAGGCTGGGGCAGCAGGGTCCTGAGCAGCAGTAAGGGGTGGCCATCAGCCTCCCCCCAGAGGGGGCTGGCAGGGCCGGGGCTGAGGGGACAGCCCCTGGGACAACCTCAGCCCTCACCTGCCCCAGGATCTGTGGGCAGAGCTCTGCACCCCGGTCCTGCTGCTGGTGGCTCTGCCCACCCAGGGAAGGGCTGCCACGCTTGGCAGCACCCGAGGATGGGGGGGCAGCTCCCCCTCCCTTCAGCAACATCCCCTGCAGCCACTCCTCTGTTAATAAAGTTAATTGTTAATAGAGTTCCCTTGGTTAACAGCCCCAGTACCTGCCCCCGGGGGCCCAGCTGGGACACCCTGGCACCCCCATCCCTGGCTGGCCCCAGCTCCAGCCCAGGTTTACACCCCATTTGCACCCCCACTGCCCCGGGGATTGCGGCTTACGGGGTCTCCTGGGGACACACACACACACACACACACACACACACACACACACACACACACACACACACACACACACACACCCCTTCTCTCCCAGCTGTCCTGGCTCTGGGAGCTGCTCCTTATCCAGCCTGGCTTCCACAGAGCCAGTCTTGGGTAGGATGGGGGGGCACTCCCAGCCTCCTGCCCAGGTTTGGCTGCACACCAGCTGGAGAGGGGCTGGACTGGGCCCAGGCTGCTCCCTGGCCCAGCAGAAATGAATGCACGTGCACACCTGGTGGCAACCCTTCCTCCTCCTCCTCCCTGGGGTGAGCAAGGGCACCTTGCCCCCCTTAACGTGGTTGTGCTGGGCAGGGACAGGGAGAGGCAGGGGGAGCTGCTGTGCAGGCAGGAGGGGCACAGAGGGTAACCCTGTCTGCTGCCAGCTCCTTACTGCCTGTTAACTGATATCCCTGCCTGCTCCATGCAGGACCTTGTCTCCAGTCCCATCTTCCCTGTGAAGGGGCTGGAGCTGCTGGTGGGAGCAGACAGGCAGACACCCCACATTCCCCAAGGGCACAGGGTGCACCAGGGTGCATGGACACTCCCTACCAGGACCACCCCAACCGGGGGGCCCAGCCACTCACCTGGGCCAGGACCAGCTCCAGGGTAAGAGGAACCTCCCCAGGGCAAGGGCTCACCTTGTTTGGCAGCTCTCCTGTGGTCCAAGGACCCCAAGGCTCCCCTCCCTGAAGAGGGGTGGTGGCCAGCCCAGCAGGATCGTGGGGCTGCCAGGGCCAGCCCACACTCCTAGAGCAGGGCCAGTACCTGGGGTGCTGCAGGGCTCCTATGGAGGGACAGACAGACAGACGCCCAGGGCCATGGCACCCCAGCTCACCTTGGTCCTTGGACTGTCCCTTTTAGTGTGTCAGCTCTGGTGGGACACACCCCCTCCCCAGGCTGCAGAGAGGCAGCTGCTCACTGTGAGGGTTCACGCTCATGGAGCTGCCTTGGAGGTGACTCGGTACCTGCTCAGGCCAGGGAAGTTTGCCCTGGAGCTGGTGACAGACCCACACAGCACTGCCTGGGAGACCCACTGGTGGGGCCTGGCTGGTTTTTGGGTGGTTTGGCTCCTCACGTGTTGTCCCACGTGGCAGGGCAGTGACAGCCCACCAGTGTTGCCTCTGCAGGTGCCTGGCTCTGGGCTCTGGCACACACCATATCCCCACGCCATTGCCTCAGGGTCCTTTCCTGAGCCGTGGTCTTCCTCTTCCAGGTGGACATCCTCATCCCCAGGGAGAAGCCTTCTCACTCAGAGCAAACACCTCACTTGGGCCCATGTCCCCACACTGCACCCACAGCTCTGGGCATTCCACACTGTCCCCCTCAGGGTAGTCTGGGGCAGGTGAGCTTGTGCATCCCAGCCCCTCCAAACACTGCACACACAGTCCCACACTGACCAACTGGCCTCCTAAGTGCTCCTGCTTGGTCCCCTGACATCCCTGGTTAGGTCACACCTGTGGGACTGGTACACCCTCCTGCAGTCCTTCCTCCTGGCTCCTGTGGTCCTCCTGGTATATGGCAAGCACAGAGCCTGACTGTGATAATCAGGCCTTTCATTGACAGGCTGAGCCCAAACTGAGCCTAGTGGGACCCAGGAAAGGAGGAGGTGCTCTGTGAAACCCCAAATATTCCAGTGACTACCATCTCCTCACCTGCCAATAAAGCCACAGTGGCTGGTCCCCAATTTATCTGACTTTTATCTGCTTTTAAACCTCCTCCAGTCACACAAATGAGGGCTGAAGTGGAGGGTGATCAGACACTGCAAGCTGATGATGCATATTCTGGGGGGCTTTGTAGCCTGAGCCAGGGCCTGTTGCTGCTTGGGATGATTTCCAAACAGTTTAGGTACCAGTGCCAAGCTGCAGGGCGGGCAGGCAACTGGGAAAGAAGAAAAGAATGCTACAACCAGGCAGGGTCTGAGAACACGAGAAGAACCTGAAACCAAACCAAAAGCTAAAAACAGCACAAAGAGACACCCCACATCAGGGAACAAACAACCCAGGGTGCCCAGGAGGCTGCAGCTGGAAGAATCAGGGCTGTCCCCCCTGGATAGGGGACACCACTCCCTGGTCTCAAAGCAACAGAGGAGCCTGGGATGACACGAGGTGAGCTCAGGCCTCCTGCCACCTTTTCCACTGGGGGTTGGTGAAACCGGGAGGTAGACGGGGAATGGCAAAGGGTACAATGGCCTTGAGGGGATAAGAAAGGTGGGCACAAGCACAGGCTGATGGGACCAGTGGCTGCCAAGCTGTGAGTGAACCCAGCTGGCCCTGGGGTGAGGGCTTGGCTGCTGGCATGTGGCATCTCTGATCATCTGAAGCCTTCACCATGTGCAGGGCCAAACTGGTCCCTGACACCTCTCTTGGTGGGAACACACACTTATGGGGGGCTCTGCACCCCTTGTGGGGGCTCTCACCTCCCCTGGGGTGGTGATGGGCTGAGCCAAGAGCAGGCACGATGCCTGGGGGCTCCTCGGGCTGGAGGACCCTCCTTGGCTGCCAGTCACCTCTGAGTCTGGCAAGCTTCCCTCTGCAACCCCTTCCTCCCTGCCTGTCCCATCCTGCTGTTCACAGCCAGAGCCAAGGGGTAACACAGAGCATGGAAAGAGCCTTTATTTAGGAAGTATGTGGCACCCAGTGTCCCTGGGCCCTTTTCCCTGCTATCCCCCCCCCCGACCGAGCCCACTGACATCCCTAAAAGCCACCCACCCCCACCTCCTCTCACTGTTCCTCTTGCTGTGGATGCAGAGACCTCCCCCTGACAGATCCCCAAACACAGGACCCCCTCCCCAGCCACAGCACCTGCCCCATCCCACCCCCAGCCAAGCACCTCCATCCCTCTGTGAGCACCCACCCCTGTGCCTGCCCCCCAGACCCCGCAGCCCCTCAGAGCTGTGCCTACACCACCCCCCACCTCGCATGCTCCCTGGCCAGGGTGTTCCTGTGCAGCCCCGTGGAGGCACAGGAGCAGGGACATCCCTTATCCCTGCCCTGCTACCGGTGTGGAGGCTCCTGCTGCTGCTGTCGCAGCCGCTGCTGCCTGCGGACGGGCTGGGGGCTGAGCACGGGGATGTGTCCGACGAGGCGCAGGGGAGAGCCTGGACTGGGGATTTCAGAGCAGGGAGATGCTGGCTGCTGTCCCAGGGCTGGGAGATGGTGCTTGGGAGGCGCAGCTGGCACGGGAAAAGGCACAACGGCCTCCGAGGGGATGAGGAAGGCGGGCACAAAGCCGTAGGAGAGATCGAAGGCTTTGGGGGCTACTCCACTCCGTAACGGGGCAAGGCGGGCTGGTGGTGGGCTAGCCGGGGCACCTGGGCACTTCGTGGGGCCCGCAGGGTCCCTCCCCACCTGGTCCTTCTGCACCTGGTCCTTCTGCAGCAGCTCCTGCAGTTTCTCCAGCTGCGTCCGGCAGATGTGGGAGCGTGTGCGGCTCTGGCAGAAGGACTCCAGAAAGGACTCAAGGGGCAGGTCCTGGGCCAGGAACTGCTCTATCTGTACCTGTAGGATGGACAGTGGGACACCATCAAGCCAAAAGAGCTGTAGGACCTCAGAGGGGGCACTTCTGGACCCTTGGACTCTTCTCCAGACCCTGGCATGTGGGAAGGCATGGAGAGCAGTCCAGGGCCCAGCAAGGAAGGGGGCAGCAGCAAAGGGGTCTCAGCTGACTCACCTCTGACTCTGCTTCAGAGGCATCGAGCCTGGCTTGGAGCTGGCCCAGGGCGCTCTGTGGGCTCCACTTCTCCAGGTAAGCCTCTGTGTGTCAGAAGGGGATGGGGCTGCCAACCTTCCCCTGGGCGTCCCCACTGCTGGGGTTGCCACCTTTCCCATCCCAAAGCATCAGCTCCCCCCTCCCTTGAACTGAAACACTCCCAAACACATCCCTGGGGCCACCTGCACACCAAGACCTGCATCCCACCTTGGCACTACGGCTGCTCAGAGCAGCTGTGGCTGCCCCATCCCTGGAAGTGTCCAAGGCCAGGTTGGACAGGGCTTGAAGCAACCTGGTCTGGTGGAAGGTGTTTCTGCCCATGGCAGAGGGTGGAATGAGATGATCTTTAAAGTGTCTTCCAACCCAAACCATTCTGTGATTCTATGACTGGTCCCAGCTGAGGGTTCGCTGTGTCACAGGCAGCCTCCTCCCCCCACCGCTCCTGATCATGACTGGACCATTTCCCTGGGGCAGGTTCAAGGATGCTGAGCCCACCTGGACCCTCATATTAATTAATACAGGCCATCCCAGGCTCTGCCCCATCCCATCGGCTGCACCTCACTCACCCAGGCGCTGCTGCTTGTCCCAACATGCCTCTCGGATCTCCCGCAGCTCCTGGTACTTGATGGCCAGGGAAGCCTTCCCGTCCTCCAGCCGCGGGCGCAGGGACAGGTTCACCCTGGCCTGGGTACAGTTTGAAGCCAAGCACATCTCCCGCTCCTGCTGCAGACTCTGGAACTGCGGGGACGGGAGCGTGGGATGTGTGTCAGCACTGGGAGAAATGGGCAGAACCAGGCAGATCCAGCAGCCTGTTGGGCGGGGGTCCGAGTCCATCCAGGGGCGAACCCTCTCTTCCTGCACTGTCTCCATGCCTCTGCTCTGCCTGGAGCATCCCGGGGGGATGCAAAGGCTGGCGCCGGGCTACGAACGGAAAATCCCTGCGCCGGCTGCCCAACCCCTCTTCAGGAAAAGGGCTCGGCAGCGGGCACGGATGTCGGGGGGGACCCACGCACCCTCCCCTCGCTGCACAGACACTGTCTGGGCGGGGGGGGGGGCAGGGGAGACGCTGAAATGGGGCCGAGAGCGATTCCAGAATAACCTGCGCCCGCTCCCGCAGAGGAGCCGGGAGCGCGCAGGGCTCATCCCGGCTGCGCGGAGCGAGGCCAGGCTTGAAGGCGGGCGAGGGGCCGGGGCCTCCCCAGATCTCGGGGCTGCGGGGGGCAGCGGATGGGGTTTGGGGGGGCAGTGGATGGGGTTTGGTGGCGGCGGGTTTGGTGGCCCGAGGCTGCAGCACAGGAGCCCCGCGCAGCCGTGGCCGGGACGCCCGAGCGAAGAATCCCCCGCCCCGCCGGTGGATTCTGCGGCTCCTCCAGAGCCCCCGGGATTACGGGTGTCAAGGAAGGGGCAGCGGGCGCCGGGGCCGGGACGGGCGGGGGATGCCCGGCCCCGCAGCGCCGGTGCCCGGGCCGCGGGCGGCTCCACCTTGCGCACCGGGACAGCCCCGCTGGGGCGAGCGGCGACGGCTCGGCCCCGCCGGCTGCGGGACACGGTCCCCCCCGATCCTCCTCGATCCCCCGGCCCCCCGTTACCTTCCTGCTGAGGCGGGCGGCGCGCTGCAGCCGCGGCTCGTCCTGCAGAAGCGCCCGGAGCTGCGCCGTGCTCAGCGCCCCGAGGCGGCGCGGGGAGCCGGGCGGCGCCGCGGGCCGGGACATGGGCCGGGGCCGGGATCGGGATCGGGATCGGGACCGGGACCCCCCCGCCCCCGCCGCCGGGAGCCGCGCGCGCCCCCCGCGCGCCGCCCCGCGCCCGCCGCCCCCGCCGGTCTTAAAGGAGCCGCAGCGGAGCACGAGGCGCTCCCGCACCGCGCCCGCCCCCGGCCGGGGGACACCGGCACTGCTCCCGCTCCGCGCACCCTGCGCTCCGCACCCCGCTGTTCACACCCTGCGTTCTGCATCCTACACCCCGCTCTGCGCTCCCTGCTCCCCTCTGTGCACCCTCTGCACCTCACTTGGCACAACCCGCATCCCGCACCCCGCTGTGCACACCCCGCACACCGCTGTGCACATCCTGCACCCCGCTGTGCCCACCCTGCATCTGCTCTGCCCACCCGATACCCCGCTGTGCCCACTCGATACCCCGCTGTGCGCATCCTGCATCCGCTGTGCCCACCCTGCGCACCGCACCCCACTGTGCACACCCTGCGTTCTGCATCCTACACCCCGCTCTGCGCGCCCTGCTCCCCTCTGTGCACCCTCTGCGCCTCACTTGGCACAACCCGCATCCCGCACCCCACTGTGCGCGCCTCGCACCGCCCCCGCGCCGTGAACATCCCGCACCCTGCTGTGCACATTCCACCTGCTGCCGCCGTGGTCTCACCCGTCTTGTGACACCCCGGTGACCTGCTCTCGCGGCTCCGGAGAGACGGGAGTCAAGGGACACCCTGTGACTGGGACACCCTGTCACTACAGCTCTGTTTGAGCCCCTTTGGCCCCCAGGGAGGGCAGAGGTGGCAGTGCTGCCCCACTGGGACTGGGAACTGCTGCCACAGGGTGCTGTGGTCACTAAATGTTTGCAGTGATTCAGACACCTAGAAGAAAAATTCCAGGACCTCCCAACAGCCATCTCTCCTTGCTGCTACCAGCTTGTGCTCCTGGCATAGGAGAACTGCTCTTCCAGACAACACAAATCCATGCTGGAGCTCCCCTGTGCCTCCTCTCCCTGTGCTGTGGTGCCCAATACAAGGCAGGCAGGGGCTGTACACAGAGGTCCCACCAGTCCTTCGTGCTCTGGTTTGGGGGGCTCAGTGGTTGGTGCTGGAGGCCCAGGCTTTCCATTTCCTCAGACACCCCCAGCTGCAGGTGCCCCACACTCTGCAGTGCTGAGGGCCATTCCCTGGAGCAGTGTCAGGTCCTTTTTGGCTGGGACATCTCCCACTGCTCATTTCTCTCAGCATTTTCTAATTTCTCAAACCTCTCCGGATGGCTCCCAGTGCACACTGGGCTCCACAGCTGGTGGGCCAGGGATGGGTTTTCCCGGGCCGTGGAAGGTGAAACTCATGGCTGGTCCTGGAAGTGAAACTCATGGCTGTTACTGTGCTGCCCCAGCACAAAACCAGAAGGGGTTTGTGAAAGCCAAAATGCTTCTCCAACACTCTGTCCTGGCAGTGCCAGAACTCTGTGGGATGGAGGAGCTGTAGCAGTCTTGTCCTGCAGCCTCACAGCATTAGTTCTTTAGTCTGCACTTTTCCTGGCAAAAATTCATCTAAATTGGTCTCAGAAACTTGGATATGGTGATCCCATTATGAACTTTGCCCTCATTAGTGTCTCCTAATTCAAGTGGAGAATTCCTCATTTCTAACATCTAACCTACTTCTCCTTTGCTTCTATTTCAGCTCACTGCTTCTCGCTCACAGCAGACATTTACCAACGACTTTGAAATCTTGTTTCTAGAGGATCAAAGTATGTCTGTGCAGACAGCCAGGCAGCAAAGAACACATCCTGACAGACAGAGCCTCCCAGCAGGGGTGGGACCCTGGCACCAGGACATTGCCACAGCTTCTGACCCAGGACTGTGAGTGTGGTGATGATGTGGGATGAGTTCTCCCATGTGCCTGGTCCCTTCTGAACCCCCCTGTGCAGATCCCAGGGCCTTTATCACAGTGTAACTGGGTTTAATTTTCCTACATCCATTCCTGTGAGAACCACTCAAGGCTTTCTGCCTCCAGGTTGAGCAACCTGGTCTAGTGCAAGGTGTCCCTGCCCATGTCAAGGGGGTTGGAATGAGATGAGCTTCAAGGTCCCTTCAGCCCAAACCAGTCTGTGATTCTGTGATAATCCCAAGACTCCCGTCCTGCCACCCGGCATGGGATTTCCCGAGTCTCATGGGAGCACACCAGAGACAGAGAACAGATGTCATTACTGGTGAATGAGCTCAAGCAAGCACATTTATTTGGATGCTTCACCAGACACTGCAGAGAGGCTCAGAGTACATGGAAATTTGTGGCATGCAGCTTTTTTGCTCGCTGTGAGTTCTGGAGGCAGGGAACTCTGATGTCACTCCAGGGCTGTGTCTTCCTCCCACAGGGAAGGTACGTGGGGAATCCACAAATTTCACAACTAATTTTTTTATTCTTGATTACGAACATAATAACAAAGAATCACTGGCAAGCACAGGGGAATAGAGCTGAGCAGAGGGGAGCCTGCACTCAGAGTGGGGATTGGAAAGTGGCATTTCACTAAAGCCCTGCTATCTTTGGGCTCCTCGCTCTGCTCCAGAGAGGCTCATGCTCTTTGGCCATTCAGAGCCTTTGCAGAGTGTCCAGTGTGGACAGGAGGAGGAAGAAGCACTAACAATATGAAGCTGGTTTGATGAGGATAAGGGAGGATTTGCAGTTGCCCTTGCACAGGTTGCCCCATGTCATGCCACCCTTGTAATTCAGCCTCACAGAGTAACACGACGAGAACCACCACCCGCCCTCGTAGCTGTAGGCACAGTTCTTACTGTAAGTGTCCTGGTCCCGATCCTTTGTGGAGAATTTCATGTTGTCATGCATGTTGTTGGGATTGTCTGAGGTCATGGCATCCCCCGCCGTCCCGTTGTAGGCACCTAGCCTCAGCCTGTAGCCATGGGACTCGTCTTCCACGCTGAACAGGTTGTAGTCTGCGAAGCTGATGGTGTCTGCAGAATCCTGGATAACAAACCTGACCTGGTAGACCTTCTGCTTGGCGATCTGGTGGATGTACTCGGTGCCCAGCCAGTACTCGGTGCGCACGTTCCCGAAGCCGAACTTGTAGGTGCTCCAGGACTCGGCCCAGGTGACTGGTGTGTCTCTCTGGTTCCTCTGGATCACGGTCCAGCCCCCATGGGTCACATTCATCTCACAGTACACCACGAGGTGGTGGAGCCCTTTGGGCTGGATGATGTAGACACCGCTGTGGCTGCCACGGGGAATCTCACTGCAGTCCTTGGGCCAACCTGGGGCTGGAAACAGAGATGGTTATTAAATCCCACACAATGACATGCTGAGAGTGGGATATTCCTTTTGTGCCTAGATCTTTTTGCACACACATTCCTGCCACGGGCTCTGTTCCTGCCACTGTATTCATGCCACGTGCTCACAGGAGTAAATCAAAATTTTAACTTGATCAGTGTAGTAGTTGAGCTTCACACCTTCCTAAGACAGGATTCAAACTGATGGGGACACACTGTCTGGGCCTGGTGAGACCAAGCCAGGCATCGCCGTCACCCAAGGACCCTTGCCCAGGTTGGGTTCAGTCTCACAGTGCTGTGGTGATTTGCCTGTGCCATGCAGGTGATGTATGACCACAGACAAATGCAAATCTGGGTGACAAAGCCACTTGTGGGTACAGCACAGAGGCTTTAGACCTTTGCAGTAATCTCAGAAACCCCAGAGAGACGGTGATCACAACATCAATATCGTTAACAGTTAGATCAGCCCTTGGAAACTCCACAGGGCAAAGCCACTGGTGTTCTCTGGGCTTACCCAAGTAGCTCTGTAGAGACTTCCTGACTTGGATTTGATTATGGCCTTTCCATGCTCCAGAGTGTCAGCACCTCATACAACAAAGAGCTGAACGCACCTACAGGCTCCTGGGAAGGGACTTGCTCCTCTCCCAGTACCTCTGCCACTGTTTGTCCCCACTCAGATAGGACCTGTGTTTGGTCCTATGGGCTAATGTTGACCCAGCCAGTTCAGTGACACAGTCAGCCCCAGTCTTCTCATCAACTGTGTGGTGAAAATGGGAAAATTAACAATCACCACTTCCCAGTAATGAATCATCACTTTCCAGTTTGGATCTTCAGCTGGAAAATTCCCCACCCTAAAGGTCCTCATCGCCTACTGAGCCCAGGACACGGCTGGTAACAGAGTCCCCTGAGGTTATGAGCTGTGGCTCCTCTGCAGCCCATCAGAAAACCAGCATTTTTTCCTGGGAGGAGCCAGTGCATGTGTAGGACATGGATAAAGTGTCTTGAGAGCTGTTGGTGAGCCCAGCAGCAGTGAAACCTCCCAGGCAGACGCAGAGACTCACCGTGACTTGCCGGCGGGTGGTGGCCGATGTCTCTGGCCTGTCGGACATGTCCATCACCATCATCTACATTAACAGAACAGGGGAGACATGTCAAATGCCTGCTGGGAGAACATGATCTTCTCCAGATCATATTCCTGTTTTTCTCTTGCTGTCCCTAATTCCAGAGGAACTTTCTGATTTCAGATATCAGTAAGCCAGTAGTTTAGGGGAATTTACGTGATGTTAGAGTGGGGCAGGTAACTTTCTGGTGGAAAGGATTTTTGGGCACACTATGTGGGGGAAAGACCCTAAGGGGGGGCAACAACACTGGGAAGATGGTTGTTAAAGTGCAGCAGCAGCAGCTTGGAAGGGACTCAGGAAGAAGAGGGGGAAGAAATAGGGGGAAGAAATGTGAGACCAGACACAGGAAAACTATTGCAGGTATCAGGAGTTGGGAGAGGGCTCTGCTCAGCTGGCTCAGAATGGAATTTGAAGGGTGTTGCTGGAAGAGAGGATGGTTTTCAGTGAGTTAATGCAATTCTTTTGTAAGGACATCTTCTGTGTATCCACTGAGAGGAATGAGTCACAGGCTTATGGAATCACAAAATTCATTCCTGTCCCCTCTCTGGAACAGACACCTCATCCTGCAGCTGCTGCTCTGACAGCCTCAAATACCTGCTCCCTGCCACCCTCAAATACCTGTTCCCTGCTTTCAGCTGGTGCTGTTCTACCCCCTCCCTTGTGAAGTGTTTAACTTATGGCTCTTGCACACTGTGTATAAGCCCATTCCTGACACAGTCGGCCTGCCAGATTTTTGGCTCTCTTTTTGTCTCCTGTTGACTCTCTCCACTGCCTGAACCTGTGTGGGGTGGGAAACACTCGTGTGACATGGTCTAGTGGACTTTCTTACCATGGCATTTACTTTTACTGCAGCCATATGAAACTGTTCACTCATGTTCATTTTGTAAGCCACAGTCTGCCCCTGCTCCTCTCTGCCTTCATTCCCCATCCATTTGGATGCACTCCTCCTCAAGTCAAGACTTGGAATGCTGACCTGTCTTCTCTGGCATGCCTCCCTGCTCACCCAGCTTGCATTCGTGCTGCTGATATTTTCAGAGCACGCTACCAGTGCTGTGAGTGAGAGATCACAGAATCACAGAATATCCCAAGTTAGAAGGGACCCACAAGGGTCATCAGGTCCAACTCCTGGCCCTGCACAGAACCACCCCAAAAATCACACCATGTGCCTGAGAGCACTGTGCAGTCCAGAGCACATTTTCTTTCTCTCCTCAGACTTGCAGTTCCTGGTGAAGCCCAGGCTCTTGTCTCAGTCATGAGGCTCCCTGTGTTGGCAGTTTCCTGACAGCTGATGTGAAACCAGCACCAAACACCTGGACTTTGAGCTTTTCTGCCAGGAATTCATCCTTCTCCCTTGGAAGGGAACCAGCACTTTCTGTTGTGCCACGTTCCACCCACAGCCCCTGCCTTTTTTTTTTCCAGGAGCATTTCTTGAAGGCTTTCTCATTGCTCCAACATACCCTGGCATCTGCAGGTTACTCTGTGCCACCACCTGGTCGCCACTGCCACCGGGTTGCCACCACCACCAGTGCCCCTGCTTGGACTCTTTGTATTAACCTCATTTAGTTCCTCTTTGTATTGAGGACTCCCTTGAATTGAGTTCTCCCCTGACCTCATGATTTCCAGAGGTGGGGACCATTCTCCCTGTCCTTAAAACACACCATGAACATCTTTAACCCTGTTTCTCCAAGGAAGAGCCCGTGACCCTTGTCTTGGTCCTGCTGCCAGTGGGACCAAACCTGCCCCTTCTCCTGGGATCCTGTGAGGAGCTCTGTGGGATCTGACTGATCAGGACCTGATTTGCCTCTTCCTGCTGTACTGGACACTTACCAGGCTGGGGGGACTCTGGAGGAGCATTCATAATGTCGTCCATCGTGCCATTGAGGAGGTACAAATTTCTTATGTCAAGGTCAGGAAGAGATGCTGCCAGGGCCAGCAGGCAGGTAAGAAGCAGAAGACAAAGGCACTGGGTAGCTGAAATGGGAAAAGATTGGAAAAAGAAGAAAGAGATGATAACTCTTCCATTAGAGAGCCATGAATCCCATTGGATTCCTTTACCTGCCGAGTAAAATAGGAAAATAAAACTCTTTCTGTGTAGAGCTCCCTCTTGGAGCCATGAGCCCCATGTAGATCAGCTCATTTATGAGAAACATCCTACTCATTACCAGGAGTCACTAGTGGTGGCACTGCTGAGGTGGTTTTTGAGACAGAAAAAGTGCCAAAACCTTGTCCAAACCCACAGTGCCTGTTCTGTAATCAGAAATCCCTGTAAAACCCAAGACTGGAGGCTGGAGATAACAAGCAGGGTGAGCATGGAGGGAGGAATCCCCTTTCTTGCCAGCTCCCATCACACTCCCATGACACACTCACCTTGTCTGAGCCCTGGGGCTGTGGGCAGTAAGACCCCGGGTGTCTGGGTGGGAACAAGCCCCAGGCAGGGCTGTGTGTGTGCAAGCAGCAGGCAGAGAGGGGCAGCACAGACTTTCAGGAATTACAGCCTGGCTGGGGAAAATGATGCCCTTTGTGTGGTTATGTCGGTTATGTGGCTACTTTAAAATTTCCATATGTAGCCAGCTGCTCTGGTCTGTTCTTGTTCAGAGCAGCAGGGGAAACCAGCACACTTTTTGCAATATTAAACTTAAGTAAAATAACAGGAAATTTACCATTATTCCTAAAGAGTGGAGCATCCATTTTCTAGTCTAGAATACACTTTCCTCAGAGAACTGAAAACTGCTTGTAAAATGGGCTTTCTGGCACTCCAGAGCTACACTGGTACAGCCTTGAAATAGCAGAGCACGCAGGCTCCTGCCCCAGTTCCCAACCCAAGGCACAGCGGGCTCAGACAAGGCGGTGGACTCGGCACTGGGATGTTCAGGGTATGGGGAGGAGGGACCCTGCAGCAGACAAAGTGCTGGGGTGCTCTGTGACCCACAGTCACATGCAGAGGCGCCATCCCATTCCATCCCATCCCATCCCATCCCATCCCACTCCATCCCATCCCATCCCACTCCATCCCACCCCACCCCACACTCACCCATGTCGCCTCTGCGGGGACCCTGCAGAGCACAGAGCCAGGTGGTTTTGGCCTGGCTGGAGGGGTGTCCAGCCTGAAAGTTATAGGGCTGATCAGGCAAGGGGGTGGAGGCACGAGACCCAAACCACAGCACTTGTCCTCTGCTTGGCAACAAGACCAGTGGCTTAGGGCTTATTTGCTCTCCACCATCAAGTGATCAGTCCTCACACAATGAAGCCTGCATCTCACACAGGTGAAGAGCTTTCTTCAGAGGCAAAGCAAATAATTGGGTGCCCATAAGCAAATGTCTTAAAATAACCACAATTTACAGTGCCCGGCTGCCCCCCTGCCTTGGCAGGGTTTCCCCAGGGAACGACATTCTTGGGGCACCTCCACACAGTTTAACTGCTAAGTAAATACCCGGATGACATTCCCCTTCTGGATGGAAATCAAACATCAGACGTAAATCGCTCTCTCCAGAGCCGGCCTTGAGCTCAACAGCCCCTGGGGACCCCACAGACCCTTCAGGGAAGAGGTACTCCAGTGTTCCTGGGAAACTGTGCCCCGAACTTCAGAAAGTGCCACTCCAGCTGCCTCCTGCCCCTCACTGCGCTGCCCCTTGCACAACTCACACCGTGGTCCCCCTGGCACGATCACGAGTTGGACTTCTGGGCATGGTGACGTGACACTGATGTAAAATGGTCTCACCTCAAGCCCCTCTCTGCTCTAGGAGTGCCTACACTGTGGATGTCATACAGAAAACGCCAGACCTCCTTTTCCCCAGGGGTTGATGCCCATGGTGTTCTGAGTTATGAAGATTCCTGTGCCCCAGCATCCAACTTGGGCTGGATGGCCAGAGCCTGTGGCAGACTGGGCTGGAATTTTGTCACAGGCTGTGTCCCTGCAGTGTGGCCACCCAGTCATGGACACTCCTGTGGCTGCCCTGCTGTGCTGCTGACCAACAGCAGGTACAAGCAAGGCCAGGCAGAGACCCTCAGCAGGGCTTCTCCAACAACATCCAGCCCCCAGGCACCTTTTCCAGGAGGCCTATGTTGGGATTAGGGTGTGCAAAGCAGGCAGGAGAAAGGCCACAGAGAGGATTTCTCCAAACTCCCAGCTATAGCCTGGAGCCCTGGGGAGGAAAGTGCCCATCACCACCAGGATCCCTGGGTAGCCCCTGGGATCCTCAGAGCAGGGAAGGCAGAGCCAGGGCTCAGTCAGGAGCAAGGAGCTCCCAGGGTGGTGGGAACTGCAGCTCCAGGGCAGGCTCTGCCCTGCAGGGTTGAAGCAAGGTGGGAAATGGCTCTGTCACCTCCTGATCAGCTCCTTCCCTACACCACATGGCAACCTGCAGTTTGTTCTGGAGCTGAAGCCACTGCTCTGGGCAATTTGTTCCAGTGCTTGACAACCCTCTCCATGAAGAAATTTTCCTAATATCCAATCTAAACCTCCCTTGGTGCAACTTGAAGCCACTTTCTCTTGTCCTGTCCATCCAGAAATTCCTTACCAGGGATGTGTTACCTTGGAGAGGTCTGGATGCTGCTGTCCTTCAATCCCTGCAAGTGGCACTGCTTGATGTGGCCTCCCACAGTACGGAAAGTTTGGTGGGAGCTTCATCTTGAACTCGACTTGCTGTGAACAGCAAGTGTGGTGGAGCTGTGCCAGAAGAAGACATCTGGTCAGAAACCAACACAGGAGAAGAAAGTAGAAGGGCCACATCTTTATCCTCTTAAATTTGACAAGGTGATGGAGCTGCCTGCACCTCCTGGTATGAACAACAGCCCTCCCAAAGTGTCTGTCCTGAGAGCATTTTGCTACCATAGACAGTGCAACTCCAGGTTGATGTTTCGGGGGCTGAGGGTGGATCTGCAGGGTCTGACCAGGCCAAAGATAGGGTCTGGGAAGGAGAGTGGCAAAGGGACCCACAGGCACCTGTTTGTTACCTGGAGCCCTTGCTCAGAGCACACAGACTGGGGTGCCAGGGAACACTGTGTCTACAGTGGCTCTGGCTGCTGGACAGCTGCTCCAGCCCAATGCTGATCCTAAAACCTGCCAGCAGAGACTTAGCAAGCTGGCACCTCTCTCGAGGCCCTGTCCTCACCTTTCCAAGGTCACCTTTGGGACTGGGCACACAGGAGACCTCTCCTCCTTTGCTGGTTTCTGTGTGTATGTCCTTAAACAGCTGGGTCTCTCCACTTCACTTTGATCCCAGCTCTCCAGAATTTGCTCCAGGCGGGCAATTCACATGTAGTGTTTGTGTAGGGACAGTCAATAACTGAAATCCCTCAGCATGCAGGGGGCTACTCTGCACCTCTCTGGCTGGAAGGGCATGCCTCCCTCCCCTCAGCTCTGCTGTCATGGGATCTGGAAACTGCTCGAGTCACAATCTGCAAGTGCCTCTACAGCTGCTGAGTGTGAACACACGTGGGTGTGTGCAGTGCCTATAAATTCGGCGTGGACAGCTCGGCATGGGAGGGTGCACCGCCGGGTTCCTGCTCTCTGCGCAGCCGTGCTGTCGTGATGGGTGAGTGACCTGCCCAGGGACACCTCACTCCTGTGTGGTGCTGGGCTCAAACGAGACCTGACGGGGTGAGTATGCAAAGGCACAGAGAGGATGAGCAGGACACCAGCACGCTGGGAGCAGGAGGGATGCCAGACCAAAGCACCAAACAACACACACACTTGGTGCCAGCCTGTGCCTGCCCTGGGGTACCTGTGCCATATGTTCCCATGGAGGTTAAGGTGGAGACCTAGGTTTCACCTTGGTCCTTTCCCTTCCCAGCCAGTGCATGTGGCACGTGTGGCTGCACAGGGATCCTGCCCCTGGCATGGTGGCATCTCCCCCAGGAGTCGAGTGAGTGCAGGATGTAGAGGGGTGCTGGTGGTCAGCACAGAGGGTTTGGGTTTGTGTCCCTGTGGGGGCCCAAGAGACTTCTGTGTGCTTGGGAGCTGGCACCTGGGCAGTAAGACCCATCCTTTGGCTTAGTTTCCAAAAATAGCTGTTTCTTGTGATTCCTCCCCACCTGGCAAGCTACTGATCCACCTGTGTCATTGCCCTCTCTTGGGCTGTGGGTTCCGAGAACAAACTGCAGGTTGCCATGTGGTGTAGGGAAGGAGCTGATCAGGAGGTGACAGAGCCATTTCCCACCTTGCTTCAACCCTGCAGGGCAGAGCCTGCCCTGGAGCTGCAGTTCCCACCACCCTGGGAGCTCCTTGCTCCTGACTGAGCCCTGGCTCTGCCTTCCCTGCTCTGAGGATCCCGGGGGCTACCCAGGGATCCTGGTGGTGATGGGCACTTTCCTCCCCAGGGCTCCAGGCTGGGACACACCAGCTCCACCGGGACCTTGTCCTCCTGCCCACCGTGGTGGCGATGCTTCTCCTCAGTGCCAGTGCCGGCCCGGCCGTGCCCACTGCCAGCCCCCGGAGCGGTGAGTAGGGGTCAGTGGGGGATGCGGGCTGGGCACCGAGGGACAGAGCAGGATGGGGTCTCCCTGGCTCAGCACTGACTCTCAGGTCTGCTGTGGGCTAGGGAAGGCCAGCAAACACCCAGGGGGATGCACAGCACAGGAACCTCTCACACACAAGCCCCAGGGCTGTGGCTTGTACAGCCTGACTCCTGCCAAGCCACCTTCACCCCTTTGGTGGGTCTATGCTGAAACCAACAGGTTCCTGCCCAAAACACCTTGGAAGGATTGTTCTGCCATGACTGTGAGCATCAGTTCTAGGAGAGATCCTCCCAGCTATTTGTTTTTTTGTTTTGCTCTTCTTGGATGAGGAGCATTCCCTTACTCCCTGCAAGGGAGGGTTACAGTTCCTGCAAGACCTGAGTGTCTGAGTAAAACAGATTTTCAGGGGTTGAATTGGAATTACGCATGGCAAATTGTCTCCTTTCAGACACAAACCAAGAAAAACGAATTAGATAGTAAATTAGTTTGTCCAGTGAGTCATGACAGATCAGATAAACTGTAACAAGCTGGGAGAAGAGATCCCTATGAGACCACGGCAGAACTAAGCCTTCTTTTTCAATGCCATGACCCCCAGGGATAACATAAATTCTCATTACATATCGCCATCCAGTGGAGCATTTTGGACACTTCTGGTCCTTGCAAGAGCTGTGTCTCAGTATATCAAGGATGTTGTGTATGGGCCAGATATACTTGAAGGACACCACTGGCATCTGGAAGATTTTTTCCCCTTCTTTCCTTGGCCAGATGCCAATGATGTCCAACGAAGGTTCTAAATGAAACAGCAAACCATAAGAAATAGATTCCAGGGCTCTTACAGGGGTCACTGGCTTAGAGAGACTTTCTGGGTTCCCCAAGGATGAGCCAATGAAAAAGCCGCAGGCAGAACCACCCCTTTTTGTCCTGCGTTCTCACTGCCCTACAGGAGCACCTCGCTGCCCTGACAGACTCACGATCCTTCTCTCTCCCACCTCAACCCGTGTTTGTTGCTGCAGCCTCAGGGTTCCCCCCAGACTGCAGCCGCCTCCGCAAGAACAGCCCCAGCGGGGTGTACGTCATCCAGCCGGCTCGGTCCCCCCCGCGCGTGGTCTGGTGCGACATGGACACTGAAGGCAAGGGCTGGACTGTTGTCCAGAGAAACTCTCATGACACTGAGCTCAACTGGAAGCAATCCTGGACCACCTACAAGTACGGCTTCGGGAACGTGCACGCCGATTACTGGCTGGGCACCGAGTACCTGCACCTGCTGACCCAGCAGGGCACCTACAAGGTGCGTTTCGTCGTGCGGGACAAAACCAACGTCACCCACTTCGCCGAGTACGACATCTTCAGGGTGGAGAGCGAGGACAGCGGGTACCCCCTGAGGCTGGGCCGGCATTCTGGCGATGGGGACGACTACCTGACCCTCTACCACCCCAAGAAGGGGGGCATTCACGACAACATGAAGTTCAGCACGGTCGACAAGGACCAGGACCAGTATAGTGGGAACTGCGCCAAGAGCTACGGGGGGTGGTGGTACAACAGGTGCCAGAACGTCCTGCTCAATGCCAAAAACTACATCGTTTGGCCGGGATTCTGCGACAGCGGTGACTGCGCATCCTCCCTCATCCTGGTCAAACCCACAGACGTGTGCTGACCCTGCTGCAGCGCCCAGAACCCCGGCAGTGAAGGAGTGCCACCATCCCCTGCTCAGTGCCCCATTCCCGTGCCTGCCCACTGTCCCCTGCGAGTCCCAGTGCATGTCCTGCTCTGCCCGCAGCTCCTGCACCCTCACCAGCTGAAACACAGCAGCTCTGGGGCCCAGGAGCCGTCGCCTGGAACCCTGGGCACACGGGCAGCTCCGCCCAGTGCCGCGGTGCCGGCCGGCACTGGGGCACAGGCACTGGTTTGGGGTGGGTGCGCCCGCCCCCGTCCTGGGGAGGGGGACACGGTGCCAGTTCCCTGCCCCGCGCAGTCGGTGGACCCTGCTTTGCTCAGGCCCCGCTCCCTCCCCGGGCCCCGCTCCCCCCACAGCTCTGCTACCCACGGTGGGAGGAATCAGCTGCAATAAACCCTGGAGCCAGATTGTGCTGCCTCGTGTCTACCTGCACACAGGTGTGGGGGGATCTCTCTGTCCAGTCTTCAGGGAGGCAGACCTGGGGAAAATTAAAGTGTGTTAGGCAACATTCTTTCCAATTTATTTGTTCCAGTCACTGAGCACTGGACTGTGGCTGTAAGGTTACAATTAGTCAATAGGACCAGCAAAGCCCGTACCTTGCAAACCCCTCACTCACAGTTTGCCACTGTCCATGGCTAGGTGGTTGTTCTCTGCTGGGAAGGGGAAGAAACCACCACAGCTTGGAGTGTGCAGAGGGCAGTGGGCTCCTCTGAGGGTGTGAGCGATGTGTGTCAGTCAGTCCCATTGTTCCCTGCAGCCAAGGGGAAATGTGTCTGTGGAGCTCCCTTGGAATGGAGGGAAGTTTTAACTTTGGGCTTGAAAGAACCCATGGTTCCTCTCTGCAGTCTTTGGGAGAAAAACTGAGCTTGAGCAAGGTTTGTGGCTGGGAATGCTGAACAACATGAGGCTCTGGAGCCAAGCAAGGTCTGTGACTCAAGTTCCAGGACACCCTGCAGGGCTATGGGCAGTGCTGTGTTCCTGAGGAACTATGGAGTTCCTGAGGAGCATTCCTTGGCTGCCCTGGTGGCACTTGAGGGCAGGCAGCATTGCTGCATGGGGAGATGGGGGTATGTGAGGGTGCTGCTGGTTGAGAAAGGCTTCTCGGTTGGAGCTGACTTGAGGGTAACATTTCTGGACTGAGAGATATGTCTGCTGGTTTAAAAAGTTATTGGTGCTCCAGCCTGTATGTACAACCTAATGTGAGGGGAGAGGCTGGACAGAAGGGCTTTGGGCTGCTGGTAAACAGCACTCTGATCCTGAGTGATGCTGAGCTGCGTTCCTGGGCTCTGTTAGCAAGAGGGCAGCCAGCAAGACATCTCCCAGCACTGGGAGACTCCTTCTACTCAGTACTGGGAGACCACATCACAGGCACCATGTCCACTGCTGAGCTGTCCAGTGCATGGAGAAATCACCACACTGGAGCAAACCCATAAAGACCCAAGCTGATCCAAAAACTTGAAACTGTGGGATCCCTGCCACGTCAGGCTTGGATCTTACACATGCCCGGACATACTGACCATGTGCTGCTGTGTGGCCTTGCAGTGCTGTTGTTCCTTTCTAGCCTGTTCACTCTCCCATTTCCCTCCCACTGTTCACAAGGTTAATAAGGCAGGATGATGCTGGCCTGGCCTCTGGTCTCTGGTGAGTTCCAGGTCATGGCTGGTAGGGCTGAACTGACCTGATGCTTCCCTCCCACCCTCAGTGCTTGCTACTGACCATGTGCTACTGCATTCCCTTTTTGGAAGATCCCCACCTTGGAATCCAACTCTCTCCATTAAGTGAAAGTTTTGTCTTTAATTCCTCACCTGAGTCTTATGAAAAAATTCTCCTTTGAAAACATTTTCCTGCTGCACCAGGAGCCTCAGGTCTGCTCCTGGCAGGAAACTGGGAGCAGTTGCAAGGAGTTCCCAAACAAATGAAGGACACCTATGCAGATCTGAAAGTGATTTTATTTGGCAGGATGAATACAGACTGCAGCAGGGTTGTGGTGCAGGTACGGCCTGCCCTGGGCTCAGTGCAGTGTAGGTCAGGTTAGCTAGTGATGGATGTTTTTCTACTGAAAACATCTATACCCACAAAGCAGAAAGAGAGTAAGACCCTGCTGGACCAGGAGGGTTTTAAACTTCTGAGCACAGTTTTGTCCCCAGAAAGAAAATGCTTGGACACTGCAGTATTCATAAACATGTGTGCTAATAATGATCCCCCAAAACCCACCGCAGGTGAATGGCCAAAGACAGAGCAGGGAACTTTGCTACTTTTCAGGATAAGAGGAAAACAAAGCAGCTTTTGATACAGAGGAACAACCCTACTCACCCCAGCCCCCGTCATCAAACAGGCCCCAGCAGGGCGCTGGCCTGGCCATGTGCCCAGGGGGGACAGAAGAGGGAAGGAGTTCTAGTGGTAGGGAGCTGGTTTGATGAGGATGGCAGAGGCTTTGCAGTTCCCCTTGCACAGCCTGCCCCACGTGATGCTCCCCTTGACGTTCAGCCGCACGGAGTAACACGCCGAGTACCACCACCCGCCCCCGTAGCGGGAAGCACAGTTCCCTCTGTAAGTGTCCTGGTCCCGATCCTTTGTGGAGAACTTCATGTTGTTGTGCACTTTCCTGGGATTATCTGAGTCCATGGCATCTTCTGCCGTCCCCGAGTGCGCTCCCAGCCTCAGCCGGTAGCCCTGGGACTCATCGTCCAGGCTGAACAGGTTGTAGTCTGCAAACCTCTTGTTGTTTGAAGCATCCCAGATGACAAACCTGACCTGGTAGACCTTCTGCCTGGTGATCTGGTGGATGTTCTCAGTGCCCAGCCAGTACTCGGTGTGCACATTCCCAAAGCCGTGCTTGTAGGTGCTCCAGGACTCGTTCCAGGTGATATCCGTGTCCTGCCGGTTCCTCTGGATCACAGTCCAGCCCCCATCTCCACCCATCTCACAGTACACCATGATGGGGTGCAATCCTGAGGGCTGGATGATGTAGACACCGCTGGAGCTGCCATCAGGGACCTCACTGCAGTCCCTGGGCCAACCTGGAGCAGGACAGAAGGGGACTGAACAAAAGCCAGTACAACAGGACAAGACCTTGTCTCACCCAGGGGCAGGAGAGAGGGACATCTCACCAGAGCACCTGGGGGATAATCAGCTCTCCCAGCCTAGAGAGGTCTGGAGGTGAGAGTGGGTTGGCCTCGACCCTCTGTTCCTTTTCAATATGGAACACCAACAGAAATAAACCCCAGTAAAAGGTCTCAGACCCACTGGGCTATGCTGGTACGAGGCAAAGAGACTGAATATGGGCACCAAAGGGCTCCTCTAGGCCTCCTGAAAAAGGGGGTGTGCCACTACAACAGGGTCATGCTGGGAGGAAGGCGAAGGGGACCTTGCCCCTGCCTGTGACCGAGGGAACAGCAGAAAAATGACCTCTTCAAGCAGACACAGCCACCCCCCCAGCCTGCACAGTGCACACACACACACACACTGTAGCCTGCACTAGGTACATTTCCACCATCCTCCATCCCAGAGCAGGGCCAGGGTTAGGGATGGTTCAGGGCCTTTTCCCACCCAGAGCTGGCTGTACACAAGCACACCACACCAGATGCCCATGGGATGCTACCTACTGGTTTTCTTCAGAGCACTCGCCGAAGCATTGGAGGGAGATTTCTTGAAGACGTTTAGGGTTTCTATATGCACACAGTGGCCTGGAGTAGCCAAAAGCAGCAGGGAAGCAAGGAGCAGAAGGCACTGGGCTGCTAGAAAGGGATAAGATGGAGAAAAGATGAAACAGGGCCCTCCCTGCAGAGAGACTGGACATCCCATGGCTCCAGCACCGCAGTTAACACGACCCTGTGAGGTGCAGGAGAGCACCAAGAATGCTGGGCAGCATCAGGCTGCTTCCTGCAAGCTGGAAGGCTTGCCCAAGGGGTAGGCAACCTTGCCTTTCCCCCTTGATCTGCTCCCGGCAAGTCAAGCACGGGGGGGGTTTTGGGTGGAGCAAAGCACCAACAACCAACTGAGCCAAGTTTCACTCCTGGCCCCTGGAGCAGGGGACTGGCTGGGGTGAGCCAGAAGGCAGGGGACAAGCTGCTGGTGCTCCCAGGAGGGCACTGGTGCCACTGCTCCCCATCAGTGTGCATGGAGCCTCTCCCTATTGCTGGGCTGCCCTGCCTGTGCTCCCCCCACTGCTGGCAAGGACCCCCCTCTTCCCAGCCCTGTACTCACCCATGGCTCCAGGTGGGAATGCTCTTGGAGCACAGAGCTCTGGAGCAGCTGGTTGCACAGAGGCATTTGTAGTGCCTCCTGCAGTGGGCGGGCTGAGCGGGTCCTGCCCCCCTTTTCTCCTGGAGGAGATCAGGTTGGTTTCCTTTGTGCCCTCAGAAAACACCAGCTGAGGTGGAGGTGCCTGTGGTTCTGAGTGCACAGGTCCCTGAGCTGCAAAGAAAATAATCCCCATGCCAGCAAGAATCCTTGGAATGGTCTCTTCTGTGAGTGCTTAGTGACTTGGATGGAATTTCCCCTGGTAACAAGCATATTTGGGAACTTTGAAGAGTGTAGCTCAGTGAACAAACACTTGAACGCCACAGTCACCAACCAGGTGGAGAGCAAACACGGGGCTGTCCCTGCCTCCCACCACTGCAGCAGGTGCTGCCAGGTCAAGGGGCTCTTGTTTAATCTGCTCCTGTCAAGCCCAGGTCTGGGTGGGGCCCCAAGACTTGCAGGGAGTTGTGTGACAGTGTTTGGAGCAACTGGTGCATTCTGGAGCACGGGACACAGGCAGAGGGGTTTCCATCTAAGGGAAGCAGAGGAAGTCTCGCCTCACCCGTGGGCCACAGTCCTGACCTGCAAGAAGGCAGCTGAATGGCCTTGAAAGATTTCTGTACATCAGATGAGACAGCTGTGGCCTCTGGGCACTGGGTTTGGGGGACTGGTCATGCAGGATGATGGCTACAGAGGAAAGCAAGTGTCTGCCCAGGACCGGAATGAAACCGGGTGGATGGAGGGCAAACAAAAGGAATCTGAGCGTGAGGGGAATGGAGGGGACCTAAGTGTGCATGGAGGGAAAGTGGAGGGAAATGAGGGTGCACAGAGGGGCTGGGAGGGACATCATCATGGAACCCATAGGAACTGAACACCCACAGAATGGACAGTGGGATCTGATCACCAGTGGAGGGTAAGCGATGGAATCTGAGGGTACTTGTCATGAAAAAGAGGGATGTGAGTGTGCCCAGAGGGGAGATGCAAGCAGACACTAGAAAGAACAGAGAAGATCTGAGCATTTGATGAGGGAAACAGAGGAGAGCTGGGTGCACACAGAGGGAAATGGAGGACACCTGCAGGAGGACCCCAGCAGGTCCTTGCTGGGGTCAGGACAGGGCAGGACAGGCCGGGCTGCAGCCTGGGGGCCACAGCTCGGGCTCCTCCACCATCATCATCACAAGCACTGATAGCTCTACAGCTCCAACTGCAGCTGGAATGTCCACCCATGAAAAGGAAAATGCTGCCTGGTACCCAGTTTTTCTGTCTGCAAGTCAAAGAACCCCAGATTTCTACCACCGGCATAATCCAGATTTTCGGAACTCTGTATTTATGTTTCTAGACTGTTCTCATTTGCACAACCAGCACAAGAAAACCAAATGCAGAAATGTTGGTCCTCGGGGATGAATCCATGTGTTAAGGTCCCAAGGGTGAATCCGGGGATCCGGAATCCTCCGGGGTACCCTGTTGTTCACGCCTGCGGGATGTCCAGCGGGCACATTGCCACAGGGCCCTGGGAGACAGAAGGAGGGATGAAGAAACAGGGGAAGCAGGGAGGACACCCTATATTTCCATCAGGGGATGTGGGGGTGGCAATGGGTACACATGGGGCATCTGGGGGGCTCAAGGGGCAACTGGGGGGCCCTTGGAGCAACTGATGGCTCTGAGGGTAAAGGAATGGGACCCTGAGGGCAACTGGGACAACTGACTGTAACTGGGGCACCCAAAGGGACAGTGGGGGTTCTAGGGAAAACATGGGAAAGTTGCGGGGTTTCAGGGGCAATTAGGGAATCTGTGGGAAGCAAGGCAGCCTAGAGTGATCCTGGGTGCAAGGGGGAGATCCTGGAATGCGCCAGAGGACAATGGGAGTCCTGGGGACATGGAGGGCCCTGTGAGTTTAGGAGTCCTGGCAGTCTATGGCCCATCCTTGGACACCTGGGTCCCCTCCCACTTGGAGAGAATGCCAAGCGACTGAGAATCCAGTGAGGTTTGGGAGTCCCTTGCTGCTCTGTGAGGGACCCCAGAAGCCATGGGGACTTTGAGGGTACAGATTACCAGGTCAGCAATACTCACACCACCAGCAGCACAAGCGCCATGGAGGCAACTCCCAGTGCCAGCCCCATTGTTGGTATGGGAACCAGGGGGGTCTCGTTGTGGAGCCAGTGCAGCACAGTACTGAACACAGCCTGGAGCCCTCTCTCTTCCTCCACGCTCCCCTCTGACACTGTGGGGACACCGGCACCTCAGGTCACGGGGCCCTGCAGCACCTGCCCCAGCCACAGACCTCACTGTCTCGGGGTCCCCGCTCCAACCCACATGCCCCACCACCCCCAGAGGAGCCAGGGATCAGGGAACACCTGCTCCAGTTCACCTGTCCACCATGAACTGACGTATCCTGGCACCCTGCCCACACCCCCAAGCACCCCCATCCCACGGACCCGGGTGTCTGGGGTTCAGCTCCCCCCGCACTGCTCCCTGCCCCCAGGGCACTCAGGTGTCTGGGCTCACCGTTGAGGTAGAAGAACTTGCGGACAAAGGGCTTGGAAACTTCCCCCAGGCGACAGGCAACAGTTCCTGGAGCGGGCTCCTCGATGGTCAGGCTGGAGGGGTTCTTTGGATTCCCCTTCAGCTCCTTGAACAGTGACATGTCCTGTGTGCGCAGCTGGGGCGTGGGGGGGATCTGTCAGCACAGCCCACAAGGTACATGGGACAGCACACGTGTGCATACAAAGGCACCCGTGTCCTGCACGTGCTTGACATGTCCCCTTCATGCTTCTTGTGCTGGTGCACGTGGACACACCTCCTGTCCCACACACTCTCCCTGTGCCCCATGTGTGCACACAGGGATGCACAACCACGGTGGACGCAAAAGTAATTTCCTGCACATGTGGGAAGGAGTTCTTCCCCGTGGGCGTGGTGAGGCCCTGGCACACTTCTCCAGAGAAGCTGTGCCTGCCCTATTCCTGAAAGTGTTCAAGCCCAGTGTCACCAAAACCCAGGAAATGAACACTCTACTCAGAAAGCTGACATTATTCAGTGCTGAGGTACACGGGTATTGCTTCACATTTACATCAGTCATGAAAACTTTTAACTATTTATACATTTTAGCAAACAAAAGATGTAGTGTTCATTGGCTTACATGTTATATAGTTCTCTTCATGCATTATTATTCTATTGGTTATGGATTTCTTGCTTTTCATGTTAATTAGTCCACATTTTCAGTCTTTTAATTATCTTTTTCCCAGACAGGGCATCTCTGGTTTATGTAACATGTCTTTGTGGTTTATAAATTCTGCAATCCTGGTGTTCAGTTCTCAACAGTAAATTTCTCTTCCAGAGTTTGTTAAATTCCCCCTCCAGGTCTGAGAACACTAAAGTATATCAAAAGCCCTAAATTTTTAATTTGTTTTTCTAACACATGGACATCACCCAGAGCTTACCCGTCATCCATTATCTAAAATCACCTCTTAACATTTTCCCTCACTGATGCATAGGCTCCTTTTTAAAGAAACATAACTTGTTCAGTTAGACCAGGTTGGATGGGGCTTGGAGCAACCTTGTCTAGAGGAAGGTGTCCCTACCCATTGCAGGGGGTGGAATGAGATGAGCTTTAAGGTCCCTTCCAACCCAAACCATCCTGTAATTTTATGACTCTACATGTGCACACATGGACCTGCAAACACACGAGTGACCTGCCCCCTGTGTGTGCTTTCACAGCTGCTACTTCCAGCACATGGTGGCAGCAGTATCCGTGAGAGACTTCACGCCAAGCAAACAGCTGTGTGTGTGTGCAGGCCTGGCTACCCGTGCCCAGCCCTCCCCAGAGCGTCTACTCACACCCTTCCACGCTCATGTGCAACTCACATTTGGGACATACATCCAGGTGACGGGCAGGCTGCCGGGGAAGGAGAAGGGCACGTCACAGAGCAGCACGATGGTCTCATCCGTGTAGGTCCGCAGGTCCTGCACTGGGAGCATTGCCAGGCACGTGAGCTCACATCTGGGTGTGCCCTGACAGAGGGGATGGTGCTCCTGTGCTGGCTGCAGGGATGGGCAGCTGAACACCTTGGCAGGTGTGCTCAGGGTGGGAGCACAGGTGAGAAATACGGGGTGTCTCCAGAGCCCTGGGGGCACCCAGCTCTGGGGGGAAGGTGAGCCCAGCCTGGGTGCCTGGGTCTGGGTGGAAGAATTACTGGGGGAAAATTATTGAGACTAAAGTTACATCCACATCCTAAAGAAAGTTGTAGAATTCCAGGGTAGAATGTAGTTGGTATTTAAGGATCACTTTACACATGTTGGGATCACAGCAGGTATGGGAACTCAGTGGGGCTGATACAACACATGGCATTTGCCAAACAAGAGGTAATATCCTGTTCCATTCAGAATATCAGTTGCCGAGATAGCAATTACTTAATTTTGTGGTGAAATCCTGTCCTTCGGGGGTACTTTGCTCATTATCATCTCATTATAATACCAAACACACCTCCATCTCAACAGCTTCCCACCCTCAATGTACAACTACTCCTCGCTGAGTGCATGCTCTGCATCTTTCTAGCCTGGACCTTTAAAAGCAAAGCGATACCATCTGCCCCCAGTCAGTACCAAAGGCATGGCTGGAGTCACTCAAGCTCCACCAAAATATTAAAAATAGTATAAAAATAACCTAAGAAAGGGGGTAAGTTGGGGAAGATTTCCTTACTCTTAATGCAACAACCTGGCATGGTCCCATACCTGGGCAGTCCAGGGGAAACTCGCAGTCTGCAAAGTGACAGGTAGCACACTGGAAGACACGGGCATCTGGCTGGAATCCTGGGAAAGAGAGACTTGGTGGTCCCAGGGGAGTGGGAGATGTACTAGGGGACAAGGAAGGGCAAGACAAGGGGACAGGCACTCACCACAGGGTGGGACGCAGGCTGGAACTGGTGGAGAGGAAGCAGCGTTAGACTGGGGAACACCAGGGACTCACATCCTTACGATGAGCTGTCAGGGCTCAGCCCTTGTCCAGCCCAGATGGAGTCCCTGGGAGTTTCTCTAGGACTGGGGTTCTCAGGGTGGGGGTCCCCACTGGCCCCATACCTTTTGTCATCCGGCTCAGCTTCACCCAGATTGTGTCGACAGCTTCCTGCAGGGACTTGTTTAAGGGCTCTGGGGTGACCCAGATGTCCAGATGAGACAATGTGTCCTCCCCAGCATCCCCATAAACCCTTTCCAGACACCACAGATCCCCCGTACAACTCACCTCAACCCCATATATCCATCCTGGAGTCCCATCTATTCCCAAATACCCCCTCAAACCCCTCAAGAAACTGTATACTTTGAAGCCCATATAACCTCAGGATTCCCCGATTATCTCTTTACTGCCTCCAGACCTCCATATTTCACCTCCACCCCATGCCCCTTCAAGGCCTCCACATCCTATGCCCCATGTCCCATGTCCCCTGCTCACTCTTGTTCTTTTGCTCCTCTACATAATACAGAGCATCCAAGACAATGTCTCGAAGTTCATCATGCTGCCCGGCCCCTGGAACCAGTACAGGGACACTAGAATCAGTATACAGGATTAGGGTTGGAGTTTCAGTAAGGTCTGGAGGGTTTCTGGGGATTCCTAGAGTTCTGACCAGGGTTTAGGGTTACTGGGAAGGGTCAGGTATCCCTGGGGACTCCTAAGGTCCTAGGTAGGGCCAAGGGGTCCCCAGTGTGTCCCCGGTCAAGGTTGAGTGATTCTCAGGGTCTTGGGCAGGGCTGGGGTTCCCAAAGGTCCCTGGAGTCCAGATCAGGACTGAGGAGGCCTTGGCGTGGTTCTGAGTCCCAAGGATGCTTGTCTGGGGTGGGTCCCTGGGGTCCACAACTTCCTGGGATCCTGGTCAGTGTCAGTGTGAGGGCCTTGGTTGAAGTGGGGAATCCCAGAGGACTGTAGGGTGCTGTTCAGGGCAGGGGTCCCCCTTGGGATAGAGGACCCACAGAAAAGAAGGGCCAGTCAGGATGGAGGTTCTTGGGCAGGATCCTTTTTGGGTTCGGGGTCCCTGGGGTCCCATGACGTACCCACAGCGACAGAGGCGAGTGGTTTAGCAGCCTCAACAAGGTCCTCTTGGCATTTTTTATTTTTGGGGTTCTTGGCAGAGGCCCCAGTAATCTCACGGCAGAGCTGTTCCCGCATTTTGGGGGGCCCAAAGCAGAGCAGGCAGGAGTGCACCCCAGGGAGGCAGAGCACCAAGGCCACCCACAGCCACAAGCCAGCATTTCTAGGGCGCCAGGGGACCAGCACCAGCATCAGGGCCACCCACCACCACCCCATGACCCCAGACCTAGCACCCAAATGCCGAGTTCCTTGGGCAACAGTGGGGTTCCAAAGCGGAGCCTGGGCACCTGGGTCACCAGGGAACCAGATAAGGCATGAGGTCATACTCGAGGCAGCCACATGGAGCTCACAGCAGCCAAAGGTGTGAGCAGAACGCAGCAAGAAACGTGCAGGCAACCTTTTCATTGAGTCTGAGCTGGAAACTCTGAGCTGCGGGGAGCACGGAGGAGGAAAAGGAGAAGTTTGCAAGGTGGATAAGGCAGCTGCGAGAGACCATAGCTGAAGCAGCAACAGAGGAGGACATGGATTCTAAGCATTCAGTGTTCAGTTATGAAGATTGAAACTATTTTACAGACTAGGACTGAACAGAATTGTTAACAAAAGTTATAAATGTACCCCGGTTTACGTCAAATAAACAAGTTTTCCCTTCATGTTTACTACCTATTTTCTGATTGGTTATAATCTGCTGCATTGCAGATGTTTCCCCTACTGGCTCCCACTCTTTCCTTATTCCCTCCTTTCCCTTCTGATTGGTCTATATTCCTGCCTGTCCCATGCTCCTCCCCGGTCTCTGGAACCTTCCCCTCCCACCCTATAAATAAGGGTGGCACACCTCAATAAAGTTGCGATAGCTTCGAGCTACCACTCTGTTCGGACCTCCCCTGGCTGTCATGTCGTCTTTTTCCTTTCAGCTGTGGCTCTGAGCCATCCCAGGGCGATGGCAGCACCGCTGCCAAACACGGCTAGGACCGTCAGGGACACGGTGTTTGTACGTGTGCCCCGAGGAGACAACTCTGCCTCTCTCCTATACTCTGTTCTTGAGTAGAGGAATACACCCCTGGTGCACCTTCAAGTTATTAGATCACTCAGCTCTCCAAAACAAGGAGGGGAGAAAGAGGGAAATTTACGTGAACTAAACTACAAAATAAATAATATCATTTACTACAAAGCAAAAGACTCAGAGTCAGGCTGTTGGTTTTATAGGGACAAGAGCTGATGCAGGAAGCAACACGCTTAGGTGTCTGCAGGTGAAAAATGAGTAAGAAACTGAAGATTCATGTGCTTACCCAGCATCACTAAAAGGCAGAGGATGCTATCAGAGCTGCCCTGGCATGTGCCAAAATGTTGAATAAATTCAAGCTGCTGTTTCCATCCAGCTTAAAAATGTTCACTTATATCCCTCTCCTGTTTCTGAACACTCAGATAGTGACCCATCAATAGCAGGTGTCTGACATAGCACATGATGACAAAAAGTGACAGGAGGATCCAGCAGCTCAGGCTGCTCCAATTCAATGCTTGCCAAACATCTCCTGCAGAGCAGAAACTGAGCTGAAGCCAGGAAAAGTTGGAGACCTTACCAGGTGATGTAGATGCTGCAAAAAACTTCCTGAGCTTCAGCTGGACTTGGGAAGGGAATTCCTAGAGCCCCTTCCATCCCTGGCTGCCTCAGCAGTGCTGTCCAGCAGCAGGATGGAAAATTAGCCCCGGTGTGGGCTGATCTCTGAACCATTGGCACCAGAGACTCCAAAGGAGGACTGAGGCCATTAAACTCCAGACTAGAAACCCACCATTGCCTGCTGAGGCACAGCAGGCAGCATGATCTGTACTGTCCCAAACTATCCTGGGCTGCAATTTTAACTATCAGAGGAAAAAAGTGGTTTGATGGACTCTTTTAAAATTGCTGGGAAGGCAAAATGGATAGCTGGGACTTGTTCTAAAAATGGAGAAGGTGTGTCCTCTTCTGTGCCTACTAGAAAGGCACATTCTGTACAGGCAGAATTGCCTTCAGAAAGCCAATGATCACGAATGATACACTGAAACTTGCATCCTTTTGATTTGACCTGAATTTCTTGACCTGTCTTTTATACAGATGTTCTCATGATATTGTAGAAGAACTGCAAATTCCAGAAGTCAGGTTTCTTGAGTGCTTTTACTTTCCCTATAAGATTCTGACTCCAAACATCAGGAGAATGGGGTATTCTGCTTAGCAGGGAAAAAATACCCAAAAAAACCCACAACAAAAAACCTCCAAAAAAACCTCAAACTCCCAGTCTCTGAACTGGGAGGAGAGTCCTGGCTCAAGCTAAATGACTATCCATGAAAGACTGGATTCCCTGTGAGGGATGTCAGGGTGTGAACTGCCCTCACTGCCCAGGCAGTGCTTGGGCCGCTGGCAGAGCTTCCTGGTCCTTGGGATGGGCTTCAGTGCTCCGGCACAGAGCCTGGCTCGGGCAGGCGGCACTGGGGCTCTCCCTGCTGACCCTGCCTGTGCCATGGGCTCCCCAGGGCAGGGCTGGGGGTCTCGGGGCAATTGCTGCCCTTGACCCCAGGCCCTTCCACCTCACAGGAGCAACGGCCAGCCAAGACCCGCAAGACCAAGCACGTCTCCTGGGCACCGCAGCTCACGCAGATAAAGATCATCCAGGCCTGTGACACATCACCTTCCCCATGCAGAGAGACAGGAGTGAACAACCAGTACTCTGACACAGACATCGAAGAAGAGAGAAGTATAGCCTTTGAGGAGTTGGTTAATTTAATAAAGAAATAATAAAGATGCAGACAAAGCCTGGTCCCACCAGCCTCTCTCTTCCTCAGGCTCCCTGATGCTCCTCAACCTTTCTCCTCCCTCCTGTCTCTCTGCCACCAGGCTGAGCACATCGTACCCCGCGGCGACGACTTGAGGCCGGCCCTGGTCCCGTGGCACCTTGTGAGACATCTCTGAGGATCTGGGGCCTACTGTGGAACCAGGAGCAGCCCAGGGTGTGCTCAGGCCCCGGGGGCTGCAGAGCCCTCTGCCCCGGAGGGCTGGGAAGCCACAGGCACATCCCCGGAGAGCCTGGCTGGCACTGCTGGGGCTGCTGGTCTCGGAGGCTGCCTGAAATCCTTCCAGTCAGCCCGGACGGCCCCTCAGGAGCAGGGCTGAGCCATGCCCGAGTGCCAGCCCTGATGGCAGGGCCCAGCAGAGCTGTGCCTTCATCTGGGCACTGGCAGATTCCAAGCTCATCTGCCCTCTTCCTCCTGCGGTCCCTTTCTAGAGGGGCAGCAGCAGGGGCTGGCCCACAGGGTTTCCTCTCCCCGGGGGCGGGCAGCCCCTTGCCCAGCCGTCCCTCTCAGGCCCCCTCTGCAGAGCTGCTTTCCAGCCGGGCCCCCCCGGCGTGTCCCGGAGCCCGGCGCTGATCCTGCCCAGGCCCGGCGGGGCCCTGCGGCCGGGCCGGGCCATCCCGGGCAGGAGCAGCCCCCGAGGCGGGGGACACACAGGCACAGGGGGACACGGGGAACCCACGCCGGGCACGGGGCCCTCCTGTCCCCATCCCGCAGAGCCGCGCCCTGTCCCAGCGGAGGAAGGACATGAGCCCACAGCTCTGTCTCGGCTGGGCCGGGGAAAGGGCGCTGTCGTTGCCTTGGGAACGAGCCAAGGTGGCCCAACGCAGTTTCTGAGCTCTCTGGCCGCCTAAAGTAACAAGTCAGGGCAGCCCAACCCAGGTTTTGGGCCCCGTGGCCGCCTAAAGTAACAAGTTGTGAAGCTTTCCTCATGAATATGTATAGCCCTGGCCAGTTCATCTACCATCTTCAGCCATGGCTGGCATTTATTTGGAGCTCTCCCCCTGCAGCTGGCACTGTAGTCCAGCTCTGTGATAAAGTGCTGCCTGCTTCCTAATGCTCTAGTGCTGTTAAGGAGCACTAGAAATTTCCTGAATAAATTCAGGAAATTTATTCCTGAATTTCCATGACAGCTACACCTCCACTGTCCTCTATCCTGGAGCAAGGCCATGACTAGGGCCGGTGCAGGGCCCTTCCCTGCCCAGAGCTGGCTGTACACGAGCACACAACAATCCCACGCTGTTCCCTGCACACTGCATGTCAGTCTAAACAGTGCAACATTTTATTAATTTTCCCAAAATTCAACTGGAATAGGTTTTCATGTTTGGTACAGATTGCTGAGTCATCTCCCCCTTTTTTTCCTTGCCCCACTTATTAGGTATATTCCCTGTCAAAAATCGGAGGAAAAAATAGTAACAAACATAAATGTACTCCTATTGGTCTCCCCTTTTATCATTCCTATAGGTCATCCCTTTTAGAATCCCTATCGCTCATCCCTGTTATCATCCCTATAGGTTATATATTTTATCATCCCTATAAGTAATCCCTTTTAGAATCCCTATAGCTCATCCCTGTTATCATCCCTATAGGTTCTATATTTTATCATCCCTATAAGTAATCCCTTTTAGAATCCCTATAGCTCATCCCTGTTATCATCCCTATAGGTTATATATTTTAACATCCCTATAAGCAATCCCTTCTGGTGACTGACCCGCTTCCTCATCGCTTTGGCTGATCCGTTTGATCAGGCTATTTGTTCTATCATTTTATCAACCCTTTTGCTCCTCCCTGTTACCACTCCTATTGGTCTCCCCTTTTATCATTCCTATAGGTCATCCCTTTTAGAATCCCTATAGGTCATAGACTTTAACAATCTAATAAGTTGTCCCTTTTAGAATCCCAATAGGTCATCCCTTTTAGAATCCCTATAGCTCATCCCTGTAATCATCCCTATAGGTTCTATATTTTATCATCCCTGTAAGTAATCCCTTTTAGAATCCCTATAGCTCATCCCTGTTATCATCCCTATAGGTTATATATTTTATCATCCCTATAAGTAATCCCTTTTAGAATCCCTATAGCTCATCCCTGTTATCATCCCTATAGGTTATATATTTTATCATTTCTATAAGTCATCCCGGTTACAATCCCTATAGGTCATATGTTTTAAAATCCCTGTAGGTCATCCCTTTTATCCTCCCTATATGACATACAGTTTAAAATCCCTATTGGCAATCCCTTTTATAATCCATATAGATCATCCCTATAGGGCATCCCTTATATCATCCCTATAGGTCATCCATTTAAAAATCTGTCCTGGTCAACCCCTTTGCCATCACTTTTAAGCATCCCTGGCAGATCTTGTCTGGGCAGAAATACTTTTATGTTTGCAGACATGGCGACTCCCTTGGACACTCTCAGCCTCTCACTCTCAGCTGCTGGATCTCGCCATCGGGATGCCCCAGAATGGAGCCGTCCACTTTCGGCCCTGAGGAAACTGCTGCAGGCCGTGCTGGGGCACCTGGACGTGCAGTACCTGACGGCCCAGGAGCTGTGGACGGGCGAGCTGAGTGGCCCCTCACTGGCTGAGTTGGCCACTGACATAAAACAAACGAAGAAGGAAATGGAAGCTGTCAAGACATTCATGCCGGAGGTAGTGGCTCTTCCCAGAGCCCCTGGTGCTCCCCCACCAGTCAGTCCCTCCCCACTTCCTCTGCACTGCTTGACTCTGCCCTCGCTGGGCCGCTGGCAGAGCTTCCTGGCCCTTGGGATGGGCTTCAGTGCTCTGGCACAGAGCCTGGCTCGGGCAGGCGGCACTGGGGCCCTCCCTGCTGACCCTGCCTGTGCCATGGGCTCCCCAGGGCAGGGCTGGGGGTCTCGGGGCAATTGCTGCCCTCGTCCCCAGGCCCTTCCACCTCACAGAAGCAACGGCCAGCCAAGACCCGCAAGACCAAGCACGTCTCCTGGGCACTGCAGCTCACCCAGATAAAGATCATCCCGGCCCGTGAGACAACACCTTCCCCAAGCAGAGAGAGAGGAGTGAACAACCAGGGCTCTGACACAGACATCGAAGAAGAGAGAAGTATAGCCTTTGAGGAGTTGGTTAATTTAATAAAGAAATAATAAAGACGCAGACAAAACCTGGTCCCACCAGCCTCTCTCTTCCTCAGGCTCCCTGATGCTCCTCAACCTTTCTCCTCCCTCCTGTCTCTCTGCCACCAGACTGAGCACATCGTGCCCCGTGCCCAGGACTTTAGGCCGACCCTGGTCCCGTGGCACCTTGTGGGGCAGCTCTGAGGATCTGGGCCTGCTGTGGAACCAGGAGCAGCCCAGGGTGTGCTCAGGCCCTGGGGGCTGCAGAGCCCTCTGCCCCGGAGGGCTGGGAAGCCACAGGCACATCCCTGGGATGCCTGGCTGGCACTGCTGGGGCTGCTGGTCTCGGAGGCTGCCTGAAATCCCTCCAGTCAGCCCAGACAGCCCCTCAGGAGCAGGGCTGAGCCATGCCCGAGTGCCAGCCCTGATGGCAGGGCCCAGCAGAGCTGTGCCTTCCTCTGGGCACTGGCAGATTCCAAGCTCATCTGCCCTCTTCCTCCTGCGGTCCCTTTCTCGAGGGGCAGCAGCAGGGGCTGGCCCACAGGGTTTCCTCTCCCCGGGGGCGGGCAGCCCCTTGCCCAGCCGTCCCTCTCAGGCCCCCTCTGCAGAGCTGCTTTCCAGCCGGGCACCCCCGGCGTGTCCCGGAGCCCGGCGCTGATCCTGCCCAGGCCCGGCGGGGCCCTGCGGCCGGGCCGGGCCATCCCGGGCAGGAGCAGCCCCCGAGGCGGGGGACACACAGGCACAGGGGGACACGGGGAACCCACGCCGGGCACGGGGCCCTCCTGTCCCCACTCCCGCAGAGCCGCGCCCTGTCCCAGCGGAGGAAGGACATGAGCCCACAGCTCTGTCTCGGCTGGGCCGGGGAAAGGGCGCTGTCGTTGCCTTGGGAACGAGCCAAGGTGGCCCAACCCAGGTTTTAGCCCTGTGGGCGTTTAAAGTAACAAGTTGTAAAGCTTTCCTCATGAATATGTATAGCCCTGGCCAGTTCATCTACCATCTTCAGCCATGGCTGGCATTTATTTGGAGCTCTCCCCCTGCAGCTGGCACTGTAGTCCAGCTCTGTGATAAAGTGCTGCCTGCTTCCTAATGCTCTAGTGCTGTTAAGGAGCTTTATTCCTGAATTTCCATGACAGCTACACCTCCACTGTCCTCTATCCTGGAGCAGGGTCATGACTAGGGCCGGTGCAGGGCCCTTCCCTGCCCAGAGCTGGCTGTACACGAGCACACAACAATCCCACGCTGTTCCCTGCATGCTGCATGTCAGTCTAAACAGTGCAGCCTTTTCTTAATTTTCCTGAAATTCAACTGGAATAGGTTTTCATGTTTGGAACAGATTGCTGAGTCATCTCCCCCTTTTTTTCCTGGCCCAGCTCATTAGGTATATTCCCTGTCAAACACCGGAGGAAAAAATAGTAACAAACATAAATGCGCTGTTTGGATTTTATCTGGTTTTGTTGGGGTTCCTGTGTCTTGCCTGGGCCAAGTCACACTGACAGTTCAGTGGCACAGCAAAGCCAGGCTTATTCCCTGCTCCACAATGCAAGAAGAAACCAAGAGCTGAGTGCGAGTTGCCTTGTAACAGAACCAGAGTCTGACATGGCAGAGGAGGAACTGGCTTAGCTGTGACTCCAGTCTTAAACTGAATAAAAGAACAATGAAGGGCTCTCTTCTTTCCTGGAAGAGCTTTGGGCATGGTTCAGTGATTAAAGGGATTCCAAAAGGGCTGGACAAGGACTTTGGACAAGGGCCTTGAGTGACAGGAGAAGGGGCAAGAGCTTCCCACTGCCAGAGGGCAGGGTTGGATGGGATATTGGGAAGAAATTCTTCCCTTTGAGGGTGGTGAGGCACTGGCACAGGTGGCCCAGAGAAAAGTGTGGCTGCCCATCCCTGCAAGTGTTCAAGGCCAGGTTGGACTGGGCTTGGAGCAACCTGGGCTAGTGGAAGGTGTCCCTGTCCCTGTCCCTTGCAGGGGGGTGGAATGAGATGAGCATTAAGGTTCCCTTCCAGCCCAAACCTTTCCATGACTCTATGACCTCATGGCTCTATGACCTCATGTCTCCATGGCTCTGTGACCCACTGTGTCCTGGGGGTGGGGTGGGGCCGTTGCCTGGCAACGGGAGCTGTGATGAAGAGGGGCACGTGCAGCGCAGGCCCCAGTCCTTCGAGGGCCGAGGAAGGAGGAAGGAGCCTTCTGGCGACTGACCCGCTTCCTCATCGCTTTGGCTGATCCGTTTGATCAGGCTACTTCTTCTATTGTTTTATCAACCCTTTTGCTCATTCCTTTTACCATCCCTATTGGTCTCCCCTTTTATCATCCCTATAGGTCACCCCTTTAAGAATCCCTCTAGGTCATCCCTTTTAACATCCCAATAAGTCATCCCTTTTAGAATCCCTATAGGTCATCCCTTTTAACATCCCAATAAGCTCCTGTTATCGTCCCTAAGGTTAGTATTCAACTGAATCATACTATAAGTCATCCTTTTGGAATTCCTATAGGTCATCATTTTTATCATCCCATAGGGCACATCGTTTTCCATCACCTATAGGTCATCACTTTTATCATCCCCATAGGTCACATAGTTTAAAATCCATATAGGTCTTCCCTTTTATCATCCCCATAGGTCATCCCCGTTCTCATCCCCATAGGTCATCCCGGTTATCATCCCTATAGGGCATCACCCTTATCATCCCTATAGGTCATATATTTTAAAATCCCTATTGGTCATCCCATTTGCCATCGCTTTTGCACATTCCTGGCAGATCCTGTCTGGTCAGAAAGGCTTTTGTGTTTGCAGACATGGCGACTCCCTTGGAGACTCTCAGCCTCTCCCAGCTGCTGGATCTCGCCATCGGGATGCCCCAGAATGGAGCCGTCCACTTTGCGGCCCTGAGGAAACTGCTGCAGGCCGTGCTGGGGCACCTGGACGTGCAGTACCTGACGGCCCAGGAGCCGTGGACGGGCGAGCTGAGTGGCCCCTCACTGGCTGAGTTGGCCAGGGGCATGAAGGACATGAAGCAGGAGATGGAATCCTGCAGGAAACTTGTCTCTGAGGTAGTGGCTCTTCCCAGAGCCCCTGGTGCTCCCCCACCAGTCAGTCCCTCCCCACTTCCTCAGCACTGCTTGACTCTGCCCTCACTGCCCAGGCAGCGCTTGGGCCGCTGGCAGCACTTCCTGGCCCTTGGAATGGGCTTCAGTGCTCTGGCACAGAGCCTGGCTCGGGCAGGCGGCACTGGGGCTCTCCCTGCTGAGCCTGCCTGTGCCATGGGCTCCCCAGGGCAGGGCTGGGGGTCTCGGGGGACTTGCTGCCCTGGGGCTCACCCCCGAGAACCCTTTTTCCTAGACTGTCTCTCAGGAGATTGGTGCAATAAAGGCCGAACATTCCCGTGTGTCAGAGGACATCAGGAAGATCCAGGAGGCACAGGTCTTGTGCAGACCACAGTGGGGGTGAAGGTCGTGTTCCCCAGGGACACTCCCCAGGGGCTCATCTCTGACACCCCTTTCTCCTAGGCCATGGCTGACTCCAAGCATCTGCAGGAGATTGACAAGTTAAAGGCTGCACAGTCCCGCATGGCAGAGGACATGAAGAAGGTCCAGCAGGAGCTTGACCAGGTGAACTGCTGCCATAAGACACTTGTGGCTCTGAGGCAGCAGCCAGTGGCCTCGGCTGTGCCGGTCGCAGGCTCAGCAGCCCTGGCCCTGCTGGATGCATGGAGAGTGCTGCCCGCAGTGCCCTGCCAGCCTGGCTGAGCCTGACCTGCACTGTCCCCTGTGCTGGGCACACCACGGCAGGGGGAAGGTCCTGCAGGTCCCCAGGGACCCTCCCCTGGGACTCACCCCCACCACCCCTCTCTCCTAGGCCATGGCTGACTGCCAGGATCTCCGCGAGGAGATTGACAGGATGAAGGTGACACAGACACACATGGAAGATGACATTCGGAGGATGAAGGAGACCCTTGCATCGGTGAGCTGCTGGCTGGTGTCACCTTTGGGCTCTTGTGGGGCACTTGAGTGTGGCTCTGTGAGCTGGGGATTTGGGCTCGGGCTGGGGACCAGGTGTGGGGCCCTTGGTCTGCCCTGACTCTGCCACCACTGCCCTTCCCAGATGAAGAAGATGGAGGATGACATCAGAAAGCTGAGGGAGGATATTGCCAAGTGGAAAGAAGAGATCAGCAAGCAGATCACTCAGCAAATGGAGTAAGAGAATGGGAGAGGGTTTAGTAGCCTAGAGGGCTTCTAGGAAGCCCAGGTGGCCTGGGAGCATCCTGGTTTGGGGGTAAGGGACATTGCCCAAGCAGCGCTGGGGAGGCTAAGCCCGCCCCTTCCCCCATCCTGCTGGCCAGGTCCGTGCTGCAGGAGACAAAGAGTGAGCTGAAGAAGATGGAGGAGCAGCAGGAGATGAAGAATTCCATGCTGGAGATGCTGGTGACTGAGACAGCCAACCAGCTGAATGCTCAGGTGAGGTGCTGGGGGAGCACTCCCACCACCTGCCAGCTCAGTGGAGGGGTCCTGAGAGGGTTCCAGCCACATCCCCCATCTGGCTGGGGCCATCAAACCCCACAGCACCCAGGTCTGTTCATTGCAACCAGTCAGCAGCGTGGAAGGAAATTAAAGTCTTGGTGTAAATGTCCTGTTGACAGTGAGGGCTTCTGACCACAGGCTGAGTAACACGGATCTGCCTCTGTGGGGAAAACAGACTCCCTTTGCTCAGCACCACTCCTGTTCTTCCTCCCTGGAGCAGGACCAGCAGCTGCTGCAGCACATGGAAGACTCATTCGGCAAGATTCAAAAGGAATACAAGAAGCTCAGCTACATCTCGGAGAGTATCCAGACAGACTGTCAGATGAAGCAGAAAGCTATTGAGGTGGGTGGGTAAAAGTCCTATGGGGTCAGAGCATCCCCCAGGCAGACTCCAGGCAGGGGACCACAAGGAATCTGTCCCCCTGCCAAGCTGCTCACACACTGTGGAGCTTCCAAGTGCCTTTCCTGGGGGTTTATCAGTAGGGGGACCAGGGGGTGCCAGGCTGGCCAGGAGGCAGCTGCAACCCTGCTGCGGTTTCATGGGATGCTTTCTGTGTTGAAAGATGCTGTTCCAGTCCTTGGAGAAGCTGAAGAAGGAAAAAGTAGATGAGCAGAACATGTTGACAGCAATGGACATGGTACAGTCTCGAGGGCCCTCTGTGCCAGCCCAGGGCTTCCTGGGCAGGGTGACAAATGCCCCTTGTCCCTTGGGGGCTGTTTGGCAGAAGTGGCCTGGGAGAGGGAGGATTTCCAGACCAAGTGCAAGCCCCTTGCCTCTCCACTGGTGGGACAACCCCATGGGGGGAGTGGGGTGACCGGGGCCACCCTGCCGTGAAAGGGGCACGATAGCACGGAGGGAGTGCTTCTCCCTCTGCCCCTGACAATCTCTGGCCCTGCCTGTCATTCCTCAACCCTTTCCCCTCTTCACTCCTGCCTTTCCCCTCTGTTAGAAAGCGGACAAAGATGCCTTGGGCAGCAAAGTCGATTGCACTCAGTTTGAGGCGAGCATGGAGCAAATGGATGGGAGGATGCAGGAGATGCAGGGCCAGGTGAAGGGACAGAAGCAGCACTGCAATGAGCTGCAGCAGAAGCTCAAGGACATGATGGAAAACAAGGTGAGCGGTGCCTCGTCCCTGCCGTGAGAAACTGGCACACTTGGCAGGCTGAGGAATTTCCCTGGAGCTGGCCACGACCCCTGCCAGGGCAGTTGGCTGAGGGTGTGCACCTGTCCACAGCTGGATCGTGGGGAGCTGAAGTATTTCCGAAATCGGTTAGAGGAGATCTGGAAGGGGAAGATGGAGGAACTTGAGAACAGGATCTTGGGTGACAGCGCCGCTGGGCTGAGGAAGTGAGTGGGATGGGGATGGCAATGGCTTTGGGGACAGCAATGGTGCTGTTCCCTCCAGCTGTCCCAGACAGTGCCCACGTGGTACCCTGGCACTGCACCAATTTAGCCACCAAACAAACCGTGGCGATGCTGATGAAGCAGCTGCACCCTCTCCTTCCACCAGCAGCAGGTTCTGCACAGGACAGGAGGCACGAGGAGGGGGCAGCTGTGGGACAGAGCCCTCCCAAAGCAAAGGGGGCTGTGGCTGCAAAGGCTTCCAGAAGCAAGGCTGGGAGATGGGCACTCCTTCCCCTGGCAGGGGTGTGACACGCAGAGCCCCAGGGCTGGGTGGTGCCCTGCCCTCCTGGCCAGGCACAGGGGGGGTCATTAGTGCTGCTGAAGCACTGCAAGCAGTGCAAGGGCTGCTTGGGATGGCAGCGTGGGCCCTGTGCCCTTCAGCTGGCACCAGCCAGTGGGTTGGGGAATGGGGAGAAACCAGGCCCCACAGCCACGGTTGGCCCTGCAGACGCCGTGACTCCCTGCAGTGCCGTGCCCAGCACCTTGCTGCTGCCAGCGAGCTGCTGCCTGCGGGTGGGCAGGGCTGTGTCCCCCCAGGAGCTCAGCCAGCCCTTTTGTCTCCCCCTCCTTAGGCAGCTGCCAGCCCCTTTCACGTGCCTGTCCTGTGACCGCCCGGTCAAAACGCAGGTTCCTGGCCCGTGAGTATCACCTCTGCTTTGGGGGGGCTGCGTGAGTGGGATGGGGCTCAATGGCTGCCAGGGGTGACCCTCTGTGCCAGGCACAGGGGTGAGGGTGTCTGCTTGGGAGGGTCTGACCCTGCTGAGCCCCCTCCTCAAAGCTGCCCATCAAGAGGTGTTGTGGGTGCTTGTCCCCAAGGGCTACAGGCAAGGGTTGCTGTGTGCTACAAGCCTGTGGTGTTTGGGGGCCGTGAGCAGGCGTGAGTGGTTTGTCCCCTGTCACCAACCTGTGGTTTCTGCCCTCTCCAGGTATCCTGAGACACTCCCATATTTTCAGCCGCTGCCCCCCAGGAAGAACGCAGAGCAAAGCCAAAGGTAGGGGACCTGAGGACACATCCCTGGCTCCTGGGGTGCAGGATAGCCCTGCCCTAGCAAGGAGAGCTCTTCTCTGCGTGAGAGCAGACGCGCCTTGTGGGCCTGAGCAGTGTAGGGGAGCAGAGGGAGGGCTGTGGAAGATCAGTGCTTGCCCCAGCTCTGTGGGTTTTACTGCCCTCTTTCCACTGCCATGTCTAGCCCAGGACTCTGCCCCAAGGTCACTGAAACCACATGAGATATGTTTGTTCTCAGCCTGAGTGCAGGCTTGGTGGGGAGTTGGGTGCCTCGTGTGAAAGGAGTTCCATGCACTGCCCTGTGCTGGGAACTGAGCATCCCTGTGCCCCATCCCACAGGAGACCAGTGGTCAATGGCAGGGTCCCCCGAGTGCCCCAGACCGGTGGGGACCCTGAGAGATTCAGCCACGCGGTGCAGCGCATCCAGCCTTGCCCCCGCCTCAGTGCACAACTGCAGGGCCTCATGACACTCCCCAGCAAGGTAGGGATGGCGAAGGCATGGACATGACAGGGCTGACTGAGGCTGGGAGGGTGAGACAGAGTATGCAGAGGGAATCTGTGCCTTCAGGTGCCCCAGGGAGAGCTGGGTTGGGAGGGTTGCTGGGGGAGGCTGAATTGAACCCCAGCTGCTCTCTCCTTCCCAGCCTAAGGTGGACAAGATGGTGGGACATTGTGGCCACAGCTCCCAGGTAAAGAAGGACCAGCCTCCCGTGGTGGAGAGCACACGGGAAGAGCCAGGTATGGCCCCATCATGGGCTGGGGGAAAGAAAGGAAACTGGTTAACTGCTGGGGAGGTGTCAGGGAGCAAGCAGGGCTGTGTGTGCAGAACTGGGCAGGCTGCCGTGGGGGACTGGGGTGGGATGAAGAGGCAGAAACAGGATGGAGCAGGAGGACTGGTGGATGGGGTGACTGGGGATGGAGGTGGAGCAAGGTGGGGAGATGGCCCTGGCCAGTGTGGGACAACAGCTTGTGTGCTGGTGGGTGGGTGGGGACCAGCACCCCCAACCCTGGGGGTCTCTGGACAGGCAGGTGTCCCTGCTGCCTGCCACGTCCTGGGCTGGCAGCGCTGCCCCAGCCGGGGGCTGCCCCTGGGAAGTGGGAAGCTCATCCTTGCCCCTTGTCCCCAGGCCCTTCCACCTCACAGGAGCAACGGCCAGCCAAGACCCGCAAGACCAAGCACGTCTCCTGGGCACCACAGCTCACCCAGATAAAGATCATCCCGGCCCGTGAGACGCCACCTCCCCCCAGTCTGCCGGACAGGACTGGGTGCCCAGCAGTGTCACCCAGGCCCCCTCGGAGGGCTTCCCAGGCCTCCAGGGCAGAGGTCTCGGCAGCTCTGTGGCGGCGTCTGAGTGCACCGGGACCTGCTCCTACACGGCCCGACCTGGCACGTCAAATTAGAAGAGAGAAAAGTCAACAGCCTGCCAGAAAATAATTTTTGGTTTTATTAAGTAAATAAAAAACCGATAAAAATGCAAAAGGAGCCTGGTCCCACCAGTCTTGCTCTTCCTCAGGCTCCCTGATGCTCCTCAACCTTTCTCCTCCCTCCTGTCTCTCTGCCTCCACACTGAGCACACCGTGCCCCGTGGCCACGACTTAAGGCCAGCACTGGTCCCGTGGCACCTTGTGGGGCAGCTCTGAGGATCTGGGGCCTGCTGTGGAACCAGGAGCAGCCCAGGGCGTGCGCAGGCCCCGGGGGCTGCAGAGCCCTCTGCCCCGGAGGGCTGGGAAGCCACAGGCACATCCCCGGAGAGCCTGGCTGGCACTGCTGGGGCTGCTGGTCTCAGGGGCAGTCTGAAATCCTTCCAGCCGGCCCGGACGGCCCCTCAGGAGCAGGGCTGAGCCATGCCCGAGTGCCAGCCCTGATGGCAGGGCCCAGCAGAGCTGTGCCTTCATCTGGGCACTGGCAGATTCCAAGCTCATCTGTCCTCTTCCTCCTGCGGTCCCTTTCTCGAGGGGCAGCAGCAGGAGCTGGCCCACAGGGTTTCCTCTCCCCGGGGGCGGGCAGCCCCTTGCCCAGCCGTCCCTCTCAGGCCCCCTCTGCAGAGCTGCTTTCCAGCCGGGCACCCCCGGCGTGTCCCGGAGCCCGGCGCTGATCCTGCCCAGGCCCGGCGGGGCCCTGCGGCCGGGCCGGGCCATCCCGGGCAGGAGCAGCCCCCGAGGCGGGGGACACACAGGCACAGGGGGACACGGGGAACCCACGCCGGGCACGGGGCCCTCCTGTCCCCACTCCCGCAGAGCCGCGCCCTGTCCCAGCGGAGGAAGGACATGAGCCCACAGCTCTGTCTCGGCTGGGCCGGGGAAAGGGCGCTGTCGTTGCCTTGGGAACGAGCCAAGGTGGCCCAACGCAGTTTCTGAGCTCTCTGGCCGCCTAAAGTAACAAGTCAGGGCAGCCCAACCCAGGTTTTGGGCCCCGTGGCCGCCTAAAGTAACAAGTTGTGAAGCTTTCCTCATGAATATGTATAGCCCTGGCCAGTTCATCTACCATCTTCAGCCATGGCTGGCATTTATTTGGAGCTCTCCCCCTGCAGCTGGCACTGTAGTCCAGCTCTGTGATAAAGTGCTGCCTGCTTCCTAATGCTCTAGTGCTGTTAAGGAGCACTAGAAATTTCCTGAATAAATTCAGGAAATTTATTCCTGAATTTCCATGACAGCTACACCTCCACTGTCCTCTATCCTGGAGCAAGGCCATGACTAGGGCCGGTGCAGGGCCCTTCCCTGCCCAGAGCTGGCTGTACACGAGCACACAACAATCCCACGCTGTTCCCTGCACACTGCATGTCAGTCTAAACAGTGCAACATTTTATTAATTTTCCCAAAATTCAACTGGAATAGGTTTTCATGTTTGGTACAGATTGCTGAGTCATCTCCCCCTTTTTTTCCTTGCCCCACTTATTAGGTATATTCCCTGTCAAAAATCGGAGGAAAAAATAGTAACAAACATAAATGTACTCCTATTGGTCTCCCCTTTTATCATTCCTATAGGTCATCCCTTTTAGAATCCCTATAGGTCATAGACTTTAACAATCTAATAAGTTGTCCCTTTTAGAATCCCTATAGCTCATCCCTGTTATCATCCCTATAGGTTATATATTTTATCATCCCTATAAGTAATCCCTTTTAGAATCCCTATAGCTCATCCCTGTTATCATCCCTATAGGTTATATATTTTATCATCCCTATAAGTAATCCCTTTTAGAATCCCTATAGCTCATCCCTGTTATCATCCCTATAGGTTATATATTTTATCATCCCTATAAGCAGTCCCTTCTGGCGACTGACCCGCTTCCTCATCGCTTTGGCTGATCCGTTTGATCAGGCTATTTGTTCTATCATTTTATCAACCCTTTTGCTCCTCCCTGTTACCACTCCTATTGGTCTCCCCTTTTATCATTCCTATAGGTCATCCCTTTTGGAATCCCTATAGGTCATAGACTTTAACAATCTAATAAGTTGTCCCTTTTAGAATCCCAATAGGTCATCCCTTTTAGAATCCCTATAGCTCATCCCTGTAATCATCCCTATAGGTTCTATATTTTATCATCCCTGTAAGTAATCCCTTTTAGAATCCCTATAGCTCATCCCTGTTATCATCCCTATAGGTTATATATTTTATCATCCCTATAAGTAATCCCTTTTAGAATCCCTATAGCTCATCCCTGTTATCATCCCTATAGGTTATATATTTTATCATTTCTATAAGTCATCCCGGTTACAATCCCTATAGGTCATATGTTTTAAAATCCCTGTAGGTCATCCCTTTTATCCTCCCTATATGACATACAGTTTAAAATCCCTATTGGCAATCCCTTTTATAATCCATATAGATCATCCCTATAGGGCATCCCTTATATCATCCCTATAGGTCATCCATTTAAAAATCTGTCCTGGTCAACCCCTTTGCCATCACTATTAAGCATCCCTGGCAGATCTTGTCTGGGCAGAAATACTTTTGTGTTTGCAGACATGGCAACACCCTTGGACACTCTCAGCCTCTCCCAGCTGCTGGATCTCGCCATCGGGATGCCCCAGAATGGAGCCGTCCACTTTGCGGCCCTGAGGAAACTGCTGCAGGCCGTGCTGGGGCACCTGGACGTGCAGTACCTGACGGCCCAGGAGCCGTGGACGGGCGAGCTGAGTGGCCCCTCACTGGCTGAGTTGGCCACTGACGTAAAACAAATGAAGAAGGAAATGGAAGCCGTCAAGACATTCATGCCGGAGGTAGTGGCTCTTCCCAGAGCCCCTGGTGCTCCCCCACCAGTCAGTCCCTCCCCACTTCCTCTGAAGTGCTTGACTCTGCCCTCGCTGGGCCGCTGGCAGAGCTTCCTGGCCCTTGGGATGGGCTTCAGTGCTCTGGCACAGAGCCTGGCTCAGGCAGGCGGCACTGGGGCTCTCCCTGCTGACCCTGCCTGTGCCATGGGCTCCCCAGGGCAGGGCTGGGGGTCTCGGGGCAATTGCTGCCCTCGACCCCAGGCCCTTCCACCTCACAGAAGCAACGGCCAGCCAAGACCCACAAGACCAAGCACGTCTCCTGGGCACTGCAGCTCACCCAGATAAAGATCATCCAGGCCTGTGACACATCACCTTCCCCAAGCAGAGAGACAGGAGTGAACAACCAGTACTCTGACACAGACATCGAAGAAGAGAGAAGTATAGCCTTTGAGGAGTTGGTTAATTTAATAAAGAAATAATAAAGATGCAGACAAAGCCTGGTCCCACCAGCCTCTCTCTTCCTCAGGCTCCCTGATGCTCCTCAACCTTTCTCCTCCCTCCTGTCTCTCTGCCACCAGGCTGAGCACATCGTACCCCGCGGCGACGACTTGAGGCCGGCCCTGGTCCCGTGGCACCTTGTGAGACATCTCTGAGGATCTGGGGCCTACTGTGGAACCAGGAGCAGCCCAGGGTGTGCTCAGGCCCCGGGGGCTGCAGAGCCCTCTGCCCCGGAGGGCTGGGAAGCCACAGGCACATCCCCGGAGAGCCTGGCTGGCACTGCTGGGGCTGCTGGTCTCGGAGGCTGCCTGAAATCCTTCCAGTCAGCCCGGACGGCCCCTCAAGAGCAGGGCTGAGCCATGCCCGAGTGCCAGCCCTGATGGCAGGGCCCAGCAGAGCTGTGCCTTCATCTGGGCACTGGCAGATTCCAAGCTCATCTGCCCTCTTCCTCCTGCGGTCCCTTTCTAGAGGGGCAGCAGCAGGGGCTGGCCCACAGGGTTTCCTCTCCCCGGGGGCGGGCAGCCCCTTGCCCAGCCGTCCCTCTCAGGCCCCCTCTGCAGAGCTGCTTTCCAGCCGGGCACCCCCGGCGTGTCCCGGAGCCCGGCGCTGATCCTGCCCCGGCCCGGCGGGGCCCTGCGGCCGGGCCGGGCCATCCCGGGCAGGAGCAGCCCCCGAGGCGGGGGACACACAGGCACAGGGGGACACGGGGAACCCACGCCGGGCACGGGGCCCTCCTGTCCCCACTCCCGCAGAGCCGCGCCCTGTCCCAGCGGAGGAAGGACATGAGCCCACAGCACTGTCTCGGCTGGGCCGGGGAAAGGGCGCTGTCGTTGCCTTGGGAACGAGCCAAGGTGGCCCAACGCAGTTTCTGAGCTCTCTGGCCGCCTAAAGTAACAAGTCAGGGCAGCCCAACCCAGGTTTTGGGCCCCGTGGCCGCCTAAAGTAACAAGTTGTAAAGCTTTCCTCATGAATATGTATAGCCCTGGCCAGTTCATCTACCATCTTCAGCCATGGCTGGCATTTATTTGGAGCTCTCCCCCTGCAGCTGGCACTGTGGTCCAGCTCTGTGATAAAGTGCTGCCTGCTTCCTAATGTTCTAGTGCTGTTAAGGAGCTTTATTCCGGAATTTCCATGACAGCTACACCTCCACTGTCCTCTATCCTGGAGCAGGGTCATGACTAGGGCCGGTGCAGGGCCCTTCCCTGCCCAGAGCTGGCTGTACACGAGCACACAACAATCCCACGCTGTTCCCTGCATGCTGCATGTCAGTCTAAACAGTGCAGCTTTGACTGGGGGAGAGCTATAACCCCCCTTGAGCAAGACCCACAGGGACCACCCTGTATGCAAGTCACAGGGTGACACAAAATGGCCGTTTATTGAACATGGACGTCGGCTTATAAAGGCAGAGCAGAAACCCTTCTGGAAGAAAGGGTGGAGACTGGGAGGAGTATCCAAGGAGTGGCCAATCAGGGTAACAAGGGGCAAAACTTATCGAAACATGAACAAATGAGAAACTATCTCTAGGCAGTACTGCTGCAGCAGGGTTGGACGAACAAGGAAAGGGTTTACATAGAACCAATAGAAGAAAGGGTAACAGGGATACAGAGAAGGGAATCACACATTCTCATAATAAAACATATTATGTCAACAAGAGAACAATTGTATAACTAAGAAAAACACTGGAAACAAACAATCTCCGGGTTATGATGATCATATCTTGAGCATGACAGCCTAGGTGCACTCTGAGATGATGTCTTC